TTGCTTGAACCAGGATCAAAACAAGGTCCTCACTTGACATTGGTCTGCTAAGTTTTCATTATAAAAGCAATACATATTTCTTCAAATAAAAAAAAGGGAAAATTCAAGTGGTTCAGGATGTTATGAAGTAAAAAGTAGCACCCACTTTTCTCATCCTACTGTTTTCTTATCTTTTCTTGCATATCCTGGAATTTGTTAATGTGCATATAGGCATGTCTCCTCAAAAATGGAATGACTTCTTGAGAGGCTAACACAGAAGGGAAAAGGAAATCTCCATAAAACCCAGAGAAGAGCTTATAAAACTTCCCTGGATTTTTTTTTGGGGGGGAGGGGGTGGGACTGGGGTTTGAACTCCGGGCTTTGAACTTGCAAAGCAGGAGTTCTCACCGCTTAAGCCACAACTCCAGTCCATTTTGCTCTGCTTATTTTGGAGATGGGGGTCTCTTGAACTATTTGTCTGGCTGCCCTTGAACCCCAATCCTTCCGACCTCAGCCCCCCAAGTAGCTAGGTTTACAGGTGTGAGCCACCAGTGCTCAGCACATATGTTCTATTTTTTAATGAAAAGATGGCTTTCAATATATTTAGGTCTATCTTTTTCTCATTGGGGGCACATATTAAATTGAACCAAGGGCACATGCATAATGTTCTTTGATCTTGTTTACTGCCCCTATTACTCTTTCTTATCTCCCCTCCTCCCTCCCACTTCCACCTCCCCAATAGTTCCTCTTTTAATTTCATGACCTGAGTTTTTTGGGTTTTGCTTAATATACCAGCCCTAATTCTCAGTACTACTCAGACTAAATTAGCTAGAATCTCTTGCAGCTCCTACTGTTCAGGCTGATGCAGTGCTGCATGTAGGTGGAGGGCCAGAAGAGTCAAGGGTCAGTTGTTAGCTCCAGAGCTGCATTTACTTCAGAGAATGGGGGAAGCAAACAGCGCTGACTTCTGCACTGAAAGGGAAGGGTGGGGAAAGCTGGCACTCTGCCTGCCCTTCTCAGTTCTTTCAGACCTTGCCCAGCAGTTAACCACCACCCTGCAGGAGCTAGGAGGCTGAGAAGATTGTATGATCCGCAGGAGCTGGGCTCAGTGCTCTCAGTCCTTCCAGATGTCAAAGCACACACAGCCAGGAGGTGGCTCCAGAGGCCAGCCATCCACCAGCGACAGGGTCAGAGCTCTGTTTCTGCAGTGATCCGCAGGTGATGGGGCTCCTCCTTGCCACAGACAGGTGGCCCACCAACCATGGCGCTCTTCACTCCCTGACTCTATGCTGCTTAAACTTCTCAGTGAGTGCACATCAGATCCTCCCTGCCACCATGACCACTTCTTGTGACCTCCTTCCACTTAAGCAATGTGGCAGGGGGTTCCCCAGTCTCCTTGAGGTGCAGTTGTCCTTGTTGTCAGGTTCCCAGAGTAACTCAGTCTCAAACAACAAGCCCCCTCTCAAGATGGCTCCTGGCTATAGCTCTCCAAGGTACGAGGAGTAACTAAATGGCTTTCTTCTCCATTGCTGTGTTGCCATGCAGGAGGAGTCACCAGATCCCCACACTGGATTTAAGGCTTGTGAGAACTGTGGACTTACTCTGTGACTAAGACTGCCAGTCTGTTATTACCAGGGCTGCCTCACTTAAGTTGTGGTTGTGATTCAGCTTCCCTTTCTCCCCAGGTATCCAGGGCTGGAGCTGTGGCTATTTCCTACTTTTTTCTGCATAGCCTTCTGTTTCTCAATGTTTTTCAGCTGTCCTCTTTTCTCTTTTGTGATTTTCACTGCCTTTCCTCTTTCTCTCTTTGGAATATCATCTTCTTTTGTTACCCTGGCTTCTCTCACTCATGGAATCATGGAGGAAGCATCTACTCTGCCATCTTGCCCCCTCAATCTAGATCTATCTGTAAAAGCTATAGGTTTTCCTTGTGTTTATGATGAAAGTCATTTAACTAAATTAAAACTGACAGGCATGTGCTGGTTGTTTCCACTGGGTCATTAGCAATAGTGCTACTCTAAACATTTTGCATAAATCTCTGTATGTTTGTTCAAGTAGTGAGGACTGCACTTCTAAGAAAAGAATTGCTAGATGAAAGTGTGGGCATGATGTTTATTTGGATACCTGCTCATCAAAAAAATAGGAAATGCCATTTTGCCCACACTTTTATCAAACTTCATCGACCTGATAAGTAAATAAAGTGAGCCTGACTGCCTTTTAGAGTTTCTCTTCCTAGTGGTTTCTAATGTCTGTTCCTCAAGTGGAAAATTCTCATTCCAAGTAATTGATACAAGCCCAACATGGTGGTGCATACCTGTACTTGTAGTACTCTGGAGGCCCAGACAGGAGGATCCCAAATTTAAGGCCAGCCTGGGATACACAGTGAGTTTGAGGCCAGCCCGAGCTTTAAAGCCAGATCCTGTCTCAAAAAAACAAAAACAGAAAAAGGAAAAGAAATTACAAACGCTGTTGCAATCCTTTAAAAAAATGTGGTTTGTTTTGCTTTTGTTTTTCTCTTTTTTCAGGTACTTGGCTAGGCAAGTGCTGTACCACTTGAGCCTCCAGTCCTTTTGTTTTTAATTTGCTTTTCAGATTAGGTCTCATGTTAACTTTGCCCAGGCTGGTCTCAAACCATGATCTATTACCTCTGGTAGTGGCATGTGCCACCACACCCAGCTGTAATTTAAAAACTTTGGAACTAAGTACACACCAGCAAAATAGCTTCATAAAAGCTCCTTTGATATTGAGGGGGTTGGGGGGAGAGAGAGGGGGCGGAGTGGGTGGTAAGGGAGGGGGTGGGGGCAGGGGGGAGAAATGAACCAAGCCTTGTATGCACATATGAATAATAAAAGAAAAATGAAAAAAAAAAAAAAAAACTCCTTTGAATTTCAGATTGGGGGCCCAAAACTTTACTTCTCACTTGTGTAAGCCTGGCCTACACACCTTTCAAAAGGATTTTGAGAGAAACATTTTCCAGGTAAAGAATAATAGCGTAAGGGGAAAAATTAATTAAAATTTGATACAGAATTTTGTCTAAATCTTCCTTGTCCTATATAGAAACCACAAAATATATCTGCTCATTAAAAACTTAATTTTAAGTCCCAAAGAGGGTGTGAACTACTATACTAGATATAATTACAAAGTATCCTCTCTTGCTCCTTCTGGTGGATGCCCCAAAAAACCTTTTTCAGAAAGATAACTGACAGTTTAAAATGAGCCATTTTACCAAATCACTGTTGCATCTCTGGAAGGTGGTGTCCAGCAGCTGTCTCTCTGAGGGGAGCAGGTTAGAGTGGTGGCCTGACAATCTTAGCTCTCCTTCAAGGGCTAGTTAGTGCCCAGAGGAAAATTTCAGCAGGATGACCTTCCACCTCCCTCCTCCCCCTCCACGCCTAGACTCTCTGTCAGAAAAGAAAGTCCATTTGGGGAAAAATCCTGAAAGGCTGTGTGTCTAATGAAAAACTAAAAGTCACTTCAGCACTAAACTGCCAACTTAAGGAAGATTGGGAATGGGACAAAAGTCAGGGAGAAGTGAGGAAATTAAAAGGAGTGTTTAACAATGGAATTTTATGTAGCCATGAAGAAGAATGAAATGTTATCATTTGCTGGTAAATGGATGGAATTGGAGAACATCATTCTGAGTGAGGTTAGCCTGGCCCAAAAGACCAAAAATCATATGTTCTCCCCTCATATGTGGACATTAGATCAAGGGCAAACACAACAATGGGATTGGACTTTGAGCACATGATAAAAGCTTTAGCACACAAGGGAGGGGTGAGGAAAGGTAAGACACCTAAGAAATTAGTTAGCATTTGTTGCCCTTAACGCAGAGAAACTAAAGCAGATACCTTATAAAAGCAACTGAGGCCAATAGGAAAAGGGGACCAGGAACTAGAGAAAAGGTGAGATCAAAAAGAATTAACTAGAAGGTAACACACACGCACAGGAGATTAATGTGAGTCAACTCCCTGTATAGCTATCCTTATCTCAACCAGCAAAAACCCTTGTTCCTTCCTTTTATTGCTTATACTCTCTCTCTACAACAAAATTAGAAATAAGGGCAAAATAGTTTCTGCTGGGTATTGAGGAGGTCGGGGAGAGAGGGAGGGGGCAGAGTGGGTGGTAAGGGAGGGGGTGGGGGCAGGGGGGAGAAATGACCCAAGCCTTGTATGCACCTATGGAAAAAAAAAGTGTTTACCTTTGAATAATAAAGTATTCCTTTTATTCACTTTCTAAGGTGGTAAAGTGTTTAAGTATACACAAATAGAAGTTTACACCCATGCCGAATGCTCACTCTATGAGAACAATGTCATTCAGTAAGTGGAGGACGAGACTGCTGTAATGCAGTAGCTTCCGTGCTCCACTCTGAAAGCCGGCCATGACTACACTCCTGTCTTCTGTATATTGCATGTCAGTTTCCAGACTTACAAGACCAGAAATTCATGACTAAGAAAGGGGGTCAGAATAAGACAGGATTAGGAGAGATAGCGACAGTGAAACAGACTTATGAAATATTTACAATTATCATGTTTAGCCATGACTGCTTATATATTTTGAAATTTCAAACAATACTAAAGAATACACGTTGATAATGATTTTTTTGGCTGGCCTCAAACTCATAACCCTCCTGCCTTAGCCTCCCGAATGCTGGGATTTATAGGTGTGTACTACTATGTCTGGCTGATGTTGACTCTTAAAAGGGAACACAAATTAAAACAAGTTTGAGGATCATTGTCCTAAATCTATATAGTTAAAAGATTTGCTCACTCCTAAGAAAATCAAAATTCTAGGAATTCTTTACAGTGGAAGAAATAACACTAAATAGCATGCCCTTGTACCATAGTTTACTGAGCTCTTTAATCACAGTAAGTTTAGAAATTACATTTGACATGCAAAGTAGGACCTTTCCTAACTACCTTGACCATGTCTATACTTATTACCAAAAGTAGAGATACTCAAATGTAAACAGATTTCAAACTTAGTGATCCTACAAGGCAGAAAGAGTTCCTACAAAGGTTGCTTTATAGCCACTTTATATCCACAAGAAAGGCAACAAACATAACCTTTTTGTTTTTTTAACAAAATAAAAGGAATCAAGAGTAAAATGCCAGGTTATTTAAAATCATGAGTCATCTCTTCATCATCACTGGCCTCAGTAATTCCTGAGCCCACTGGAGCAGCAGAGTTGAATACTAAGGACAAGTTGGAAATTTCCTTAACCTGTTGGCAGCAGTCACCACATAGAAATGTTTCTTGAGGTAAGGAGAAGGGAAAAATAAGAGAGAAAGCATTTTTTAGACCAATTGTGTTAAGAAGAGTCTAGACACTTGTGTTTGTTTAAAACTTATCTTTTAAAGGGAGAAACAACTTTCTAGAATAATTACAGTAAAATAGTCACATGACCTTTTGGGGCATGTTTGGAATAAACCCCAGGTGAGATAAATTATCTTGCCCTTTCACATGAAAAATGAAACAGCTTACAACAGGGTTTTTCAAATTCTGATTTACAATCCTCTAGTGAGTCATGAAATCAAATGTGTAGACTGTTAATAGCTGTTTTTTTTTAATGAAGTCAAATGGCATAGAACAGAAAATAGACTATACCACACCCTGTTAGAGTAGACTTGAAGTTTTGCTTCCGATGTGTCTGTACACGTGGATGTGTACTTGTGTACTACTGGCTCCTGAGGAGAAGGGTTTTGTTCTTTGGTTTGGGGTTCTTGCTGGGGGTGTGGGGTAAGTAGTCCTGGAGACTGATCCCAGGACTTTCCTAGGACCTTTGCAATGTGTACTACCACTGAGCCATGTCCACAGTCCTGTTGGGTTTTGGTTTTTAGTGAGGATTCAAGTCAACACCAATGTTGGAAAGGCACTTCCCTGGATGGCAGCTGCTATTTAAGATAGGTAGCATGATCATGTACCAAAAAGGTGAGTTTTATGTTGTTATTATTGTTTGTTGTTTTATGGTACTGGGGTTTGAACTCAGGGCCGTGCACTTGCTAGCAGGTGCTCTGTCATTTGAACCATACCCCCAAACCTCTTTTTGCTTTATTTTTTGAATAGAGTTTCACTTTTATGCCTGGACTGGCCCAGACCTCAACCCTCCTATTTGTTCCTGGTGCACACCACTATACTCAGCTTGTTGGTTGAGATGGAATCTCACTAACTTTTTGTCCAGGCTGGCCTCAGACCATGATCCTCTTGATCTCTGCCTCCCCAGTAGCTGGGATTACAGGTATGAGCCACCACACCTGGCTAGTACCAAAATCTTGTTGTAAACAAAATTTTAAAGCTTAATAAGGCTTTCCCATCCCTAATTTCTGAAATGTGGAAGAATCAGGCCCCAAGCTATAAGCAGTTGGGTCAGGGCCTTCACAGTCCCACATAAGCTCAACTTCATTCTGTTACCTCAAGTGTCCATGTAACCAGGAAATAAACATCACTTTTGTGCCAGTTATTTCTGGTCTGTGGCATCTTGCAGTCAAGCTAACTAAGCTTTTGACTTGAAAGAGGCATTTTCCCCTAAATAATTTTTGTATTTAGAATCAAAGTATAAGTAAAAACTTACCTACGATTCTTTCAAAGGACAGAAAACAAATGCTGCTTTTACAGAAAGAAAAACAAAATACCTTCCATTTTCTCTGGGCCATATATTTCTGCAGCAACAGTTGGGATTTGAGACGAACTTTGGATTTTGAGGCTTTGGCAGGCAAATTATTCAACCACTCATGTTTCAAGCACTGTGTGGCACTCATTCTGCAGCTGTAGAATCAAAGAGCAGCTTTTAGCTGGGCTTGCCTTTTCTAGCTGCCCTTGGGAAGCCTGAGTCAGTGGAACAGATTAATCATTCAGGCAGATTCATGCCATGTACCAAAAGAAGAACTTGTTTTCTAAAATTTTCTCCTTAAAAATGCAGTAAGCCATCAGCAAAATGTTCCCTGACCTCTATAGAGGCAATGATTCATCATAACATCCTAGAGAGGGCTGGGACACTTTTATCAGCAGTATGAAGGCCACCTGGGCCTGGGTTGCTCTTAACAAATAAAAGAAGCCAGGAGTTGGTGGCTCACACCTGTAATCCTAGCAATTTAGGAGGCAGAGATCAGGAGGATTGTGATTTGAAGCCAGCCCAGGAAAATAGTTCGTGAGACCCTATCTTGAAAAACCCTGCACAAAAAAAGGGCTGGTGGAGTGACTCAAAGTATAGGCCCTGAGTTCAAGACCCAGCACTGCAAAAAAAAAAAAAAAAAGAACATAATACTTGAAAGATGTTCCCTTCTTCTTCCAGAGCACTAGTTCATCTGAATTAGAATTTTTTTTTTCCACTCTCAGAAACTTTTCACAATCAAAATCTGGAAGATCAGAGAATAACAAGTTGTCTCAGAGCCCAGACTCTTGGACCTTTCTCCTGAGTTATTGATACTACTGGTTATTTTCAATTGTTACTTTATATCTGGGTATTAAGCACCTCAAGGACTCAACCCATGACTTAGATATAGTGGCTGAAGTCTAAAGTAGGCCTTCATCACAAGAAATGAGGTATTGGCTTAATTACCAAGAAACCTTTATTCTAGGGGATGACATCTGCACATTTCAACTTTTTTCAAAATTAAAATATTATAAATAACTTGGAAATAGAACCCATTTGCAAATATGTTCCTTTCTAAAACTCTGAAAAGAGTTTATGTTACTAGTTGTTTTTTAATTGATTTCCTTTGTTCTTTTCTCTGTTCTCTTTATTGTTCCAAACAAGTAACAGAATAAGAAATCCTGGGAGAAGAAAGGACTTTTAGTTCCAGCAGTTCAGCCCAGCAGCTAGATTAGGGTCCCATTAGAATGGCCTATGAGTGACAGCAATTAATGTACCTCTTCTCTTTGACCAGCAACTGGGAAACAAAGTCCTTGGCCTCCTCTGACAGTCCTTCAAAGGTGTCAGCATCAAAATCCCAGGTACAGTTCACGATGAAATTCATGGTCTCTGCATCTGTTTCCCCAAGAAATGGGGACAAACCACTGAGCCTACAAAGGAAAGAAAGGACCATCAGTATGTGGAAGCCATATTTGCGAACATGCTTCAACTGAATAGAGAAGAAACTAAAAAGACTCAGTCAGACCTAACCAGAACCAAGATGACCCAAAAGAAAAGCAGCCCCATTGCTTCTCCAAAGGGTTTAGCCCAGAATGTTCATTAAGGGAAGGAGGAAGAAGGATTAAAATTTTAGGGTCATGAAGGATGTTTGGGGCTGGGGTGGGGCTCAAGTGATGGAGTACCTGCCTAGCAACTGTGAAGTCCTGAGTGGAAGCCCCAGTACTGCCACCAAGACATAAAATAATATAAAATAAAATAAAGGGTGTTCATATAAAGTGATAGAATGTCCCCTATCACACTCACCACACTCTTCCTAAAGTCTGTTGTACAGAGTAAATTGGGGTCCAACCTGATATGTACAGTTATCAAGTATATATTGATTTAATTTAAAAATAGCTTCCCTGGTTGTTTCTGAGACAACCAGGCTCAATTACACACTATCCTCCATTGGGCCAAAGGAAACTCTGCTAGAATGAGGGCAGAAAGGCAGAACAACTGGATTGGTTGGCCCTGAGAGCTAAGCTTCCCCAGCCTAGAGCAATAGACACAAAGTGCAGTGCACAAGGTAGTCATTACACAATAGCAATAAGACAAGCAGCAAAACATGATGTTAGCCTCTAAGGAAACAGTCAAGGGAAGTCCACAATCTGTGAGGAACAAAACAGGGAGCCCAGGGTCAGAAGTGACAGGCCTGCCCATTCTCTTGCCTTAGCCCTTTGGTACACTCCTATCCCACTTGTATCCAAAGAGAAAGTCTTTGCTGAATGACTTTCTCTCCAACTAAATCTTGCTTTACTCATCCAGAAGTATCAGGAAATTGATTCACACACACACACACACACACACACACACACACACGGGATTAGCCCAGAATCAATAACCAAGATCTTTTGCCCCTCAGACAAAATAAGGCTGAGAAGGTATTTCTCAGTGCATTTCAGATTTCCCCTGCAGAAATAAACTTTAGTTGCCCACTGGTGGACCTCCTTTAGGGTCACTAATACCTTTGGTTATTTTCAGTTATTATTTTGTATTTAATATCTGAGTAGCAAAACCCTCAGTGGCTCAGCCCATGACTTAGATATAGCTGCTGAACCCTAAGAAAGCCTTTACTACCACGATGGTATTCAGCGCTTTACTCTGGAGAATGACATCTGTATATCTCAACTCTTTTTTTTCATCTTTACTTTTTTAAGTGATTAAGTTTAGGATCAATTTGTAAATATGGTAACTAGCTCAGAGACATCCTTAGCTGACAACTTTCCTTCCTCATCTCACTGTCCTGTTCCTGTTCTGATGTTCTTAGAAATGTGCTCAAATTTTTGTAGCTTCTAAGGGCACCAAAGCAAGACAGAGAGCCCCAGTTTTCCTCAGAGCCAGCCCCTAAGTACTCACAGCATGTAGGTGATGACTCCCACACTCCACATGTCTGTGGGGAATGAGACAAATTCATAGTTGACGACTTCTGGGGCCAGGAACTCAGGTGTACCAAAGTTCACCTTCAGCTTTTCCCGAGGCTTGTACCTGGGGAGGAGGGAGTACAGAGGACCATGGGAGTGAGGCTGGGAGAAGATGTGGATGCCAGACTAATTCCTGGTAGGAGAAGACACTCCCCAGCCCTTCCTGTCAGGCAGGTGGTTTACTGGGGAATAATCATAACTCAGACTTCAGACTTTTCTAAGTGAGTGGTAGATCAGAAAACCACAACACTTCTCCACACATTTAAGATCTGAAGAGAAGAGAATGGCAGTAGATATTATTTGGCATATTTGCAGCCATGAGAATGAGTATAATCAAATGGAGCAGAAGGACTGCTATGTTGGTGTGCACAGTGTAGCTAGAGGGATGACAGAACCAGCAAAAGAGGAAAAAGTGTTCATCACCAGTGATCACTAGGGAAACGCAAATCAAAACAACAATGTGATATCACTGCACACCCATCAAGATGGCCACTGTACTAAAAAATAAACAGAAAAAATAAGTGTTGACTAGGATATAGAGAAATTGGAAACCTTGTATGCTATTGATGGGAATGTAAAATGATGGAGCCTATGGAAAATAGGAAATTGGTTACTTTGAAAGTTAAAAAAAAAGAATTACCATATAATCTAGCAATTCCACTTCTAGGTAAATGTCTAAAGAACTGAAAAGAGTGTCTCTGGGAGACATTTGTATACCCATGTTCATAACAGCATTATTCACAATAGCCAAGTGTAGCTACTGAGGGTAATCCTAATCCTTCTGAATCCCTCTGAATGTCATGGCCTCTGAAGACTTGAACATACCTTCCACTCTACCAGGGTCCGTATTCCCACCGTAAATCTCAGCACCTTCAGATGTCCCATATAGAATTGCAACTTAATTTTCTATAGTCTATATTAGGGGGAGAGTAGCATTTTCCCCACTTTTCATTTCATTATAGAACATGCTTTCTCAACTCGTGTGCTTCCCCCACAGAGACTTCCTCTTAGAAGGACATATGTCTCAGGAAACAGGATGGTTTGGCATAAACCAATTTGGCAAAAGTGAAATTTTCAAGTGATTGTTTGGCTGAATGACCCATTTCCCAGATGACTGGAATGTTTTTGGTGGTTTTTGTCCAATTCACAGACAGAAATGGCGACCATTGGCCTGGCCCTATTCAGTGCAGCTTTCTGGGTATCACAAGCTTCAGGTATCTGCACCACTAGTGTCCAGCAGTTTTACTAAGGTGGCTTCTCTGCAGGTGTTTCTCTGTGTTTATTGTCTTGAATTCGCCCTTTGCCTCTGGTCCTGCTGGCAAAACTATTGCCATCAATGCCATGGACCAGGTTAAGGAATCTGACTGGTAGTTTTGGATGGATTGGCCACACACAATCTGCTTCTGGGTACCTAAATTTTGGTCAGTTGACTTCCAGTCCTTTTCACCTCTCCACAGGTCAGCCTCAATGGACTATTAGATAACATTCAAACTTGTTATATTAGATAATATTCAGGAGTGTCCTCTACTTCCTGCCTCTTCCCTCAGCCTAGCCTGCTTGTACATGGTGTACATCCTGTTCTCAGTCCACAGACCACACTCTCTCCCCTGCCTCCCTTCCAGCCCATGTCATGCTGGCTCTCACAGGTATACCTGAGTCCACCATGTTCAGTGATATTATGTCAGTAGCTTGAAATTAGCAAAATTTGGCAAATATTACAACCAACCTATATCCTCTCCCCATCTCTCCCAAGCTGGTGGTTAAGTGTTTGCCAGTATAACATTGTCTAGAGATAATGAATCTTGTCCATCTGTCCCTTCTGCTGTTTAGAGAAGCCTTTCCTGTCCCAGTTGCCCCTTGCTCAATTCATAGTGTTCCACTGCAAGTATTCATGTGGCAACCAGTTATCTGACATTAGAGAGTGATGTATGTATTCTCAATGAAGAAAAATCCTCCCACAGAGAGTTAAAATTGGTTCTGGAGGGAATAAAAAATAACTTAGCTAATACAATGGTTTGTAGCTTTCCAAAGGGCAATACATAGCCACATAAGACATCTGTGGCATTAAATTTCATGGAATAGGGAGACCAAGGGACTAGGGCCCACTGGGGGCAGGTAGCAGTAACAAGAACTACATTGAGAAATACTGCTCTAATACAGAAGATGTGCTAGTGGGAGGGATAATCCCTATTTTAGAAGACATTATTTGAGAAAACATGAAGCAGGGTTTTTTACGTTACAGATTGACTGTGATTTTAAGTGTTTGAATTAGGGAGAAATAGAGGGCCCTGTGTAACAGAAGGTGCAGGTGGGATGATATGAACTTCCTTCTACTGTTAGGTCAAGAGTACTCCTGCTAATTGGGTAACATTTGCCACTTTAGCCAGTGGAGGAGTGACCTCAGGAGACCACCATTGTGGTTCTTGATGGTGCCTGGGAGCACATGCAGGAAACCAGGAGCTAAGTTCTGCTTCCACAGGGACGAGGCTCTGCTTTCTTGACTTGTGGATGGAGTGGAAGACATTTTAAGGCTCATAGAGACAACATAGACAGCTTCTTTGTGGGAAACAGTTATTAAGATGCCCTTCACGGAGATTCTCATTTAATCCTCATACCTGCCCCATGCCAGTAGGTAATGTCATGTCACCACTGAACCAAGATCTAACCCAGTCCTGAGTAACTCCAGACCACTCACCCATGGCACCACCCAGCACTGTCACATACATGTTTTCATGTTTAACCTGTTCACTTCCCAGAGGACAAGAGTGGGAATGGATGTACTATATAGCCCAAAAGAGCCTGACCCCAGGAGGTCCAAGAAATGGGTAGACTTGGGCTGCCTAGCACTCCATTCTGGGTCCCTTTGACTGGCACTCTCTCTGCTCAGGTGGTTTGAAGGACTGTTAATTCCACAGACATTTAGGAAGAAATGGAGCCCATAGTACAAAGCCACCATTGCTGTAGTAACAAGGTTTATTTATCCACAAGGCAAGGCTTCATGCATCCATCCCAAAATGGAAGAACTGGCTGGACTGTGGGCAGGTAACCTACCTAAGAGAGCTACAAAGAGTCTCAAGGGCTTTTGTCAATGAATCAGAATAAAATGCTCTTACCTTCTGGCCAGCCCAAAGTCAATGATCTTAATTTGGTGTCCTGTCTGACTGACACACAGAATGTTCTCTGGCTGGAAAAGAAAGAGAAGTCTGCTTAGCCCTAATGAAAGCTAAGGAGGCCTGACTCTCCCACACTTACTGGGCTATGGAGCCTCGAGTTTCCCAGCCTCCAGGAGAATGTATGTCTCAGGGCAGCCCTACAGGAGTTGGATAGGCAATGAAAATAAATGAAGTGGGCTGATGAGATGGTAAGGATTGGTGTGGAGTATGGGGAACTAGGCGACTTCTGCCGTATGTCAAAGGGTGGCCACTGCTCAGCTCCAGGAGCTGCTCCCCATGCAGAAATGCTGGCATAATTGTCAGAGTTTCTTGATCCTCAAAAGAAGCCAGAAATCCAGGTTTTAATGTGAAAATTCCATGCTTTTAAATGTCGACAACTACATCAAATTTAAACCTACTGACACCAGAACCCTTCTGTAACTTAGATTTCACCCACTGCCTGTGGCTTGGGGCAGTAGTTCCCAACCCTGGCTGCGCATTGGATCATTAGGGAAGTTTTAAAGTTCCAATGTCCAGGCCCCAACCCTGATCCATGACATCACAATCTCAGAGGTGAGATCAAAGTATCACTCACTGGTCTAGTGAAGAGTACAGCTGAACCAGGTGCTGGTGGCTCATGCCTGTAATCCTAGCTACTCAGGAGGCAGAGAGCAGGAGGATCTTGGTTTAAAGCTAGCCCAGGCAAATAGTTCATGAGATGCTGTCTTGAAAAAAGTGAGCCAGTGGCTTATGTCTGTAATCCTAGCGACTCAGAAGGCAGAAATCAGGAGGCTGGCAGTTCAAAGCCAGGCTGGGCAAATAGTTCGCAAGACCCTATCTCAAAAATGCCCGTCACAAAAAAAGGGCTGGTGGAGTGGCTCAAGTGGTAGAGTGCCTGCCTAGCAAGCATGAGGCCCTGAGTTCAAATCCCATATCACACACACACACACACACACACACACACACACACACACAAAGAATATAGCTGATGAATATCAACCTGCCATTTTGTAGTGGCAGCTGTGACTCATGGGGGTGAGGACAGCGACTGTGATGTGCTTCTCCTTTCTAGGTCTTCAAATCAGCTCTGAGGCCAGAGGGAGTCTGTAACCATGCTGGTGCTTGTGTATGATAAGCCTGAGGTGGTGGGGGGAACTCGGAGCTGAGTGAAGCTGGAGGGCTTACATAGAAATAACTTGGAGACCTAAGGTCCAGTGCCTGCGGCCTAGGGCTCGGTCACCTGGTACTGAAGCCCTAGATGAAGCTCTTTCTATTCCTGAACCTCAGTGTCTCCATCTTTAAAATGGGAATGGTAACCACTTTCCACCCATCTTCCTGGAGGGTGTGATGATCAAATCCTCATGGCATACTTTAGAGCTTCCAAAGAAAATGTCAGGTGCTAACTTTCCCAACAGAATGTTTGATTGTTATTTATGTTACAGAGGGGTTGTGCAATTCCTCAGATAGGTATGGAAAGTACATAAAAATCTGTCTTCTTTATAAGATCCAGAATAACACTGTCCCAACAGAAATATAATGTGAACCACATACATGATTTAAAGCTTTCTCATCTAGGTGTGGTGGTGCACATCTGTAATTCTAGCACTTGGGAGGCAGAGGCAGGAGAATCACAAGTTTGAGGCCATCTGGACTATATAGTGAGACCCTGTCTCAAAAAATAAAACAAAACCCCTTAACTTTCTAGTAGGCACATTAAAAAGTAAAAAGAAACATGAAAAATTTATAACATTATTAAAGTGTAAATAGTAATGATTATATTATAAAAGCCAACATTTTAAAGTATAAAATTCAGTGCTTTAAAAATTATATTTAGAGAATTGCATAATGATCACCACTATTTAATTTTAGAACATTTTTATCACTTGCAAAAAATCATTAGTCAATGTCTATTCTCCCCTTGTTCCCCAACTCCTAGAAACCACTAATGTATTTTTTTTTCTCCTAGAGATTTCCTTGATCTGGACATTTCACATAATGGAATCCTAAAATATGTAGCTTTTTTGTGCATGGCTTCTTTTATTTGGCATGTTTTCAAGATTCATTCATGTTGTAATAATCTATTAGTACTTTATTCCTTTTTGTGGCTAAATACTATTCCACCACATGGATATGCAATATTTTGTTTATTCATTCATCAATTAATGAACATCCAGGTTGTTTTCACTTTTTAGATATTATGAATAATGCTAAGTACATTTGTGTATAAGTCTTGCATTATTTTGTTTCATTTCTCTTAGTTATATACCTAGGAATGAAATTGTGGATTCATATAGTAATCCTGGTTTTAGAAACTGTTATACTTGTTTTTGTTGTTGTTATTGTTGTTTGTTTTGTTTTGCTTATAGGACAGGGACTTGAAATCAGGGCCTCATAGGCAGGCACTCTACCACTTGAGCCGTACTTCCAGCCCTTGTCACGCTGGTTTTTAAAGTGGTGCACAATTTTACAACCCTACTGGTAATATATGAGAGTACCAGTTTTTCCACATCCTTGTCAACAATTCTTACTGTTTTTTTATATTTTAGTCAGCCTACTGGGCATGAGATAGTATCTCATTTTTTAAATTATTACCAAGTGACTAATGACTACAGCGTTGACTTTTCCATTTGCTTATTGCCCATTGTACATCTTCACTGGATAAATGTCTATTCAAATCCTTTTACCATGTTTTTGCAGTGCTGGGGCTTGAACTCAGGACCTCACACATGGTAGGAAAGTGCTCTACCACTGAGCTACACTCCAAGCCCATCTGACTATTTTGAAATGGCTTATTTGTCTTTCTGTTACTGAGTTGGAAGAATTCTTTATATATGCTAGATACAAGTCCCTTATTTTGATACATGATTTGGAAATGTTTCTAGTCTTCTATGAGCTGTCATTTCACTTTTTTGATGGTATCCATTGAAGCACAATGATTTTTCATTTTAGTAAAGTGTAATTTATCTATTTTTAGTTTTTGCATATGCTTTTCTTGTTTATGTCATATTTAAGAAACCACTGCCTAATCCAAGTTCAGAAAGACTTATTCCTGTTTTTTTTCTAATATTTTTATAGTATTAGCTCTTACATTTAGATCTACGATGTATTTTGAGTTAATTTGTGCATATAGTATGAGGGTAGGCTCCAACTGCATTTTTTTTGGTAGGTGGATATCTAACATGGTGTCCCAGCACCATTTGTTGAAAACACTATTTTCCCCCATTATCAAAAATCAACTGACTGAGCTGGGGATGTAGCTCAGGGGTAGCATGCACAGGCCCTGGGTTTGATCCCAGCACTGCAAAAGCAAATATATCTTACAATATGTCATACTACACTAATTGATATTTATATATTAAAGCAACCTTGCATTCTTGAAGTAAATTCTACTTTGTCATGTGTATAATCTTTTATTTGTTGCTGCATTGTTTGCTAATATTTTACTGAGAATTTTTGTATCTATTTCATGCAGTTTTTTTTTATTTCTTTGGTTTTGGTGTCAGCATAACACTGGTCTCATAAAATGAATAAAAGATTTCCACCTCTTCCACTTTTTTTGAAAATAAGAGTTTGTGAAACATCTAGTAGGATTTACCAGTGAAGTCTATGGGTCTAGTCTTTTCTTTGTGGGTAGTTTTTGATTAATCATTCAATCCTTTTATTTGTTATAGGTCTATTTAGATTTTCTGTTTCTTCTTGAGTCAGTTTCAGTAGTTTGTATCTTCCTAGGAATTTGTCCATTTCACCTAGGTTATTTGATTTGTTGGCATAGAATTTTCATAATACTTCCTTATATTCCTTTTTTTTGTGGTATTGGGCTTTGAACTCAGAGCCTATACCTTGAGCCCTTTTGTGTGATGGGTGTTTTCGAGAAAGGGTCTCATGAACTATTTGTCCAGGTTGACTTTGAACCGTTATCCTCCTGATTTCTACCTCCTGAGTAGCTAGGATTACAGGCATGAGCCACTAGCATCTGGCTCCTTTTTTATTTTTGCAAGACCAATAATGTTCTCTCTTGTGTTCCTGATTTCATTCACTCAAATCTTCTCTCTTTTTTTCTTAGTCATATAGCTAAGTATTTGCCAATTTATTGATCTTTCAAAGAACCCACTTTTGGGTTCACTGATTTTCGGTATTGCTTTTCTATTTTATTTTATCTATATATGCTCTAATTTTTATTATTTCCCTCATTCTTCTTGCTATGAGTTTAACTTCTCTTCTTTTTCTAGCTTCTTAAGGTGGAAGGGTAGATTATTGATTTGAAATCTTTAGTCTTATTTATTTAGGTACTGGGGATTGAACCCAGGTCTCACACATGCTAGGCAAGCACTGTACTACTTGACACACTCCCCTGGCTCTTTTGTTTCATATGTTGTTTTTGAGATAAGGTCTAGCTAACTTTGTCTGAAGTGGCCTTGAACTTATGATTCTCCTGCCTCCACCTTCCAAGAAACTGGGATTACATGTATGCATCACCATGCCCAGTTTCTTCTTTTTTTAATATAGATGATTATACCTATAAGCTTCTTTCCCAGCTTAGACATATGCCATATGTTTTTGCATGCTGCATTTTCAATTTAATTCAGATCAAATTTTATTTTCTAAAATTTAATTTTAATAGTACATGTTATTTAAATCAATATATTCAAAATATTACTTTAATAGGTTATCAAAATAAAAATATTGATGAGACATTTTCCATTCTTTTTGGTGGTACTGAGGTTTGAACTCAGGGCCTTGTGCTTGCTAGGCAGATGCTCTACCCCTTGAGCTACTCTGTCAGCCCTCTTTTTTCATAATAAGTCTTTGGAACCCAGTTTTTCACTCTTACAGCACATCTTAATATGGGCCTAAAGTTTTCATCAATGCTATTTGATCTATATTTAGGTTTCATAAAATTTACAGTTGAAAATCAAATCCAAGCTGGTCCAAAACATACTAAAAGTTTTTCAATAGCCGAATCAAGTGTCAGATTTTAAATTTAATGAAATTAGTAAAATCTAGTTCATCAGTCACACTGGCCACATTGCAAGTGCTTAATCACCACACGTGGCTCCTGGCTACTGTGGTGGACAGAGTGGCTCTGGAGCTCTTCCTCACAGCACTCCTGGGATAGGAACTTCTCTTCCTCACTTTGCAACTGATGAACTCAAGGAACATTCCCAAGGTCTCACAACCAGACAGGAGCTGAAAAACACAAGCTCTGCTTGGCTGGGAAATGGACCTCAGCAGAGGTGGCTTCTTTGTGCAGGAATTCCCGAAAAGCTGGTCTTTGACCCAACACTAGCCCTAACACTAGTCCTACCCACAGAGAAAATTCCTGAGCTTTCCCTAATTTCCTACTCTACAGACGCCTTGGAATTAGTTCTGATAGACAGAATTCTGAGACCAATTCCCCACCCTGCCAGCTATTTTTCTGAGTATCTTCCTGACAGTCTGATGCCAATCAGGAGAGATGGTCAGAAGGAACAACATGCATCTAACAGGTGAAGCCATCCCACTTCCTGTACTCTGAAGGGAGCCACTGAAATTCATTCCCTTCTATGTTGCAGAAAACACATTCCTGTTGGCTCAATGAAGTGAAAAAAAACACAGAAATGACCACCATGTTTCAAATGTTTATTACCAGCCAGAAACTTTTTTCTCTTAGGATACTTCTAGGAGACAAAAGAATATGTAATCTGTTCATTCAATGGAATATCATACAGCCCTTAAAAAGAATGGGGAGGGCTGAGGATGCAGCTCAGTGGTAAAGCACTTGCAAGGTCCTGGGCTTGATCCCCGGCTTTGCAAGAGAAAAAAAAATGAATGAGTAACGAGAGAGATCTACAATGTAATGTTAACTAAAAGAAGCAAGCTTAAAAACAAGGCCCATCATATGATCCTCTTTGTGTATGTTCATCTACAGTGCAAGGCCGTCCCAGAGACCTCTTTGTGTGAAAACCAGATAGGAAGAATTTCCACTGTGTATTTTATAGACTTTTATATTACTGTATTTGTTGCCACAAACATATGTTCCCTTTTGAACTTTTAAAAGACTAATCTTAAATTTTTTTTAAAGAAAGGTCACTGTGTCATTTAATCTTTAAATAACACGTAAACAAGTGCAATTAGCCACAAGTTACAAATGGAAGAATGAAGGCTCTGAGTGGAGGCAGGACTGGCCTGCGCAGAATGCCAGGCAATGGCAGAGCCAGGAAAGGAAACCATGTTGACAGAGCTCTCAATGATGAGTGCGAGAAGCTCAGGAACCACCTGCCAAGTTCTGGAGCAGAACTCACCTTGAGGTCCAGGTGCAGGATGTAGTGCTGGTGGAGGTAAAGTACACCCGTGCAAATCTGCCTGGTGAACAAGACCACATCCAGTTCAGTCAGATGGCATTTCTCATCTGTGATGCGGTCGAAGAGCTCACCCCCATCCACACTGTCAAAGGAAAGGGAGAGGCAGGCATCAGACTGAGCAGAGCTCTCACAGCACTTGCTCACTGTTTTCCCCAGCAACCAAGGGGACAGTCCAAGGTCAGTCCAAGGCTGATTACACCTCATGGGTCACAATGCTGCCGCTGCTGCCATCTAGGGTTTTAACGGGACTTTTACTCTGGCTTATTCCTACCAAAAAATATGGGATGATTTTCAGAGTTTGACAGTCTAAACTCCAGATAATCTAAATCAGGGTTGCAAACTCATCAGTTTAGGGGGACTAGTTCCCAGATGATTAGAAGTCTAAATAGGCAAATCAGACTATAACTGAGACAAAAGCTTTCTGAAAGCACACAGTTCTTATTTTTTCACTTTTGGTATAGACATGCCAGGACAGTTGTTTTGCTCTCCTCAACCCTGCCAGAAGGAAAATGGCAACACAAGCCCAAACATAAATGGCTGAGCCATGGCTCATTGCCAAGGGGTATTGGGAGTGATAAGTTGTGGCAAATAGGGATGGGTTGTTGTGTCCTTACAGACAGACCCCGTGCGCTCCAGAACACAGTTTCCAGCCAGAAATGCAGGTCCAGATCACCATGTCCTTCAAGTCTCAAGAAAAGCCAGATATATCAATTTTCTAATTTCTATCATCTAAATTTCCCAATTTCCAACAGTTTTTAAAGATTATTTGTTAGCATAAATGAATTGTACAAAGAGGTTTCATCTTGATATTTATAGCTTGTTTATAATGTACTTTGATCAAATTCACCTCATCCATATAAGCCTTTCTTAACGCCCCTTCCTCTCCCTCTTTTTTTTTTTTAACATTTTAGTGGGTTTTATTATGCTATTTTTATGCATATGTAATGTACTCTGATCATATCCACCCCATTACCCTCTCCTTTCCCCCTTCCCCTTCATCTGGTCCCTCCACAAATAGTCCTCCCTTTTTATAATCATGTCATTTTTTTTTAAAGATCTATATTTCACATATGAGCAAAAACATGTGGTATTTGCCTTTCTGAGCTTGTTTAATCCAATTTCCAACTGTTAACAACTCATTCAAAAATCACTAAAATTGTTTAGGCCAAAACAATGTACATCTGCAGTCAAATCAGACTCTCTAGTCACTCGTTTGGGTTCAAAAGAGGCTTTGTCCTCCATGCTCCAAACTGGGTTCAAGCAGCCAACCCAGAGAAGAAGTGATGGCATGACCCTAGGTGTCCCAGTGAGGGAAGAACAGGGACAGAACTTTGCCTAGAATAAAGTTCCAGCCTTGATCTCCAGCCTGAGAACTGTTGCCCCACCTCTGAGACACTCACTACTCCATGATGAGAGAGAAGCTGTTCTTGCTCTCAAAGGCATCATAGAGCTGGATCAGGTTCACATGGCTGAGCTGATTCATGATGTTGATCTCATTCTTCACATCCTCCTATGGAAGCAGCAGAGAGAGCAGTTTCCAACCAAACTGGTCAGGAAGAGAAGCCAGCAGCACCCTCCAAGACAGACAGACAAAGACACCCTGCCCCCTGCCATCCTTCTTCAATGAACCTAGGTCAAACCAGGTCTCTGTGGTTCACCACCCAAAACGTGCTCTTTCAATGGTAATTTAGTTTGACCCACCCACTTCACAGATAGAAATCTGAGGCCCAAGAAAGGGATTTATTGTCCAGGGTCCCACAGACATAGCCAGGCCAGGACACCCACACATACTTATGTGGGTTTAAACTAAGGAATACAATTTGATTTGCTGAGTGGAATGTGGGAGTCATGGAACAGAGGCAGAAAGGCAGTGAGTCCCCTGTTTGGCTTGGGGGTGCCTGTGCAATGTGGGCTGGGGTGGGAGGCTGTGTAGGAAGTGGAGGGGCCCTGAGCTTGGCTAGAAAGACCTGGCTGACCCCAGGCAGATATCTTACCCGATCCTTGGCACTCTTCACTTTGATGATCTTAGCTGCCAGTGGGAGGCCTGTGGAGTTCTCTGTGCACCTGTGGACCTGGCCAAACCGGCCCCTACAGAGACACAGGGACACAGCAGGCTGAGAGCACAAGAAGCTCCCCCAGCATGGTGAGTCACCTGTCCCCTCCTACACACACACACACACACACACACACACACACACACACAGACCATCCTATATCCCAGAGTATGCCCAAGTAAGTCCTAGGTGTCACCCTTACACCATGTAGAAAGTAAAGAAAAAAAAGTCTTTACCAGGCATACCATGTGGTCTACCCTAAGTACTAAAGGAAAACCTCCTCCTACTCCACATGGGCTATCCTGCACCCAAGAGAATATTCCTCCTCAGGCCACTCCACACCTCAGAGTTGTCCTCCACACTGAGGATATCCTGCTCATCACACCTGTGTTGGCTATCCTGTTATCTCTAGTCTGAGCTTCTCACACCCTGTGGGTAGGCCCTGCACGTGGGGTCACCCTGCACTCTAGGGACATCTTCACCTCGTTTCCCAGGCTCTGTCTTTACCCATGCCATGCAGGAAATCCCATGCTGGCTTGGGCTTGATCAGCCATCTCTGAGAACCACCCAGCAGGGCCTAGCTCATTCTCCAGGCAGGTCTGCCCAGCCACTCCTACTCCCAGTCCTCACCTACCCTCCCAAGACTTCATGTTGGCATACTGTGTAGCCCGCCAAGATGGACATCTCCTTGGCACTCACCACCCGATGTTCAAAAGGAGCCGATGGGGCTGGGCTGTCATCTGTCAGAAGATAACAAGGGACCTGTGAACCTCCTATACACCCCTACCCATCCCAGACCCATTAAACTTCACTTGGTTTACCAGGTGACAAACCCTTTGCACTTTCTACAGTTCCATCTCCAATGGGACAGCCATTTGGCAGAAAAAGAAACTGAGACTCAAGAGGTGAAGTGATTGGATCAAAGTCACAGATGAAACCAGCGACGGATTCAAAACCAGATCTCCTGGCCACTAGGATAGTGCTCTTTGTAAGGTTGAGAAGTTGTTTTCATAAGGCTCTAGACTTATGAGCCTGGTTTCCCCAGCTCAGCAGGGGAAAGCCCCATTTCACAGGAAACTGCACACTGGAAGAGGGTTGTGAGCAAAGTTCAATGGGAAGCCTATTTTTACAGGAGGCTATGAAGTACAGCAAGATGCTGTGAGGAGGCAGCTGGACAATAAACATGCCGCCCTCTTTCCTCTCACCCTCGGTCTCCTAACAGCTGAACCAAGTAGATGCCAGAGGGCAAGTACAGGTGATAGAGCCCACTGGGGCAGCTCCCACAGCATGGGGCAGAGGGAGCAACTGTGAATCCATTTATAAATCTTTCCACCATTTGGAAAGATTTTTAAATAGCTTAGGGTTGTCTTTTTTTTTTAAAGCAGGTGATTTGATACGTAGAACTGTATTGAAGGAAATGGAAACTGAGAAGAGGAATTAAACAGAATTGGAATATGCACCAAGTACAATGACATAAGCCAGTTTGTGCGTAGAGGGCAAGAAGACACTGAGGTGGGAGGTCAGTGGCTGGGTTGGCATTTGTTCAGGGCTTGCTGTCTGACTACAGAGAGCACTTGAGTGTTCCACAGATGACCCTCTGACAGGGAGGGTGACTCAGCATTGGAAGGGTTGAGGGCCTTTGTGTCTAAAGAGCACAGGATGCCTCCCACCTCACTGGGATGGCAAGCAGGTCAGGAGTCTACAACCTCCTCCCTCTCCTGGGTGAGAATTGGTTCCCTGGGTGTGAATGGCTGAGAGTGGTGAGGCATCAGTTAATATCTTTGCTTTGCATTTTTTTTTTTTTGCAGTGCTGGGGAATCCAGGTCCTTTGCACATGTGCCCATGCTAGGCAAGCACTCTACCACTGAGCCACACCCCTGCTCCCCATCTTAGATTTGTAATAGGAGCCTTCCCTGTCTTAATGCAAAATACCAGTGGTGAAAAGCTCAGGCAGGCAACTAATTGAGAAAGCATTCCAGTTGGATCACAGGGGTCCCCTTTTCCCCAGCCACCACAAGCTGATCCATTGGCCCTTCATATTTCTGCACCTTGGTCTCCAGCACCAGGGTGTATAGCTCCCTAGTCTTAGGTTCCCCCTAAACCACATTTTCTAATGCTGGAAGCAGCAGGAAAGCTCCCCAGGAGTATAGCCTCCCTTCACACTCAACTCAGGGCTTGTGACAAGCTGGGCAACTGCCTCACTTACCCAGAACTATGCTGCTGGCCTCGGCACCTGGGTACATCCTTCCTTCTGCTTTGGCTCTCCCTGAGCCCCCGGCTGCACAGTCCTTCCCTGACTCAGAGTGTTCTGCTGCTAGGCCTTTGTCCTTCTGTAGGCCTGGAGCCCCAGAAGCATCATCTTCCTCATCCCTTCTTGCCAAGCTTTGTCCCACGATGGACTTGGTCCCAGGCCCTTGACTCTCCTCTGCTCCCCCACTGTTGCTCTTCTGCAGTGTGGGAAGCTTTCCAGCTTCTTTGGGAGTCTGTTCTGCCAACTCATCCCTGGGGGCTTCAGAGTAGCACCTGGGCCCAGGTGGGTCCTGCTCACCTGGATGGGCAGCTACTGCAGGCTCTGCAGGGAGGGTGGGTCTGAATCTGCCCCCTGGTGTCACAAGTAGCTCCTCATGTGTATGCATCTCTTGCACATGGATGGAGATCCTACACAAGAGAAATATGTCCCTGAGGTTAAAAACAAGAACTCTGGGTGGACATGATGGTGTACACCTATAATCCCAGCACCCAGGAGGCTGAGGCTAGAAGATTGCAAGTTCCAGGCCAACCTGGGCTACATAGTAAGACCTTGTCTCAAAAAACAGGTGCAAAAACAAAACAAAACAAAAAAATCGAGGACTCTGGAGTCAGAACAGATCTGGGCTCAAAGGCCTACTGCTGGTCTTCTGGCCTCAGTTTTCATCTGTAAAAATGGGGATCTTAGGGTTGTTACAATAGTAAGAGTCGGCTTGTAGTTGAAACCAGCAGACGCCAATCTCTGTCCCTTGGGATCCCTAACCACCTCTTTCCAGAAGGACCCCAGGCTGGCTTAATTAGCAGATGGCCCATCACCTCTCAGGACTGCACTGGGTGAGGGTCCCAGAAAGGCTGGAGACTACCTGTGGTGAACAGGAGTGGTCCTGAGGAATCCAAAGCCTGCTCTACCCCAGGAGGGCTGCAGCCTGTGGGTTTGAGACTGGGTTCTTTCCAGTCTCAGTCTGTTTCCTGTACCCAAATTCTGTGGCACTGAAGTTTATGACCCAGCTGGAGGTCAGGAAGCACTTCGAGCCCTGATGCTCAGAGGGAGGGATCCTGACACTGGCAGTCATGACTCCAGCGGTTTGGATCTTTCCTCTCTGAGTTGCTCCCAGTGCTGGCTTCCCCTTGGAGACCTTCTTCTTGATGGATTGTGATCCCACTGCCATGTTGCCACAGAGTCTGTGTGTGGTGGGGTGAGGAGGTAACAGTGTCTGCATACACTGAATCTTGGGCAGGAAGCCAGTCTGGCCTCAGCTTTGATGGACAACACTGAACAAGTCCAGCCTCAGTCCCTCCTCTGTTGAACACTTCACAGATGAGCTGAGAGAGTCAACCGACAGAGGAAAGCACAAGCACAGAGTTAAAACATGAGCCCTAAAATGGCACCATTGATGCAGGACCTGTGCAGCTGCTTCAGACAATTAGAGGTTGAATTTCTATGTGTTCCAGCAATCCTACTTCAGGTATATATCCAAAAAAATTGAAAGCAGCTGGTGGAGTGGCTCAAGTGGTAAGAGCGCCTGCTTAGCAAGCATGAGGCCCTGAGTTCAAACCTCAATGCCATCAAAAAAATAAAGAAAGAGAGAATAAGCCAAAATAGCCCAATCTTCAAATAGAAAATTAAAACTGGAGACTCCTACTTACTTCCTCCAGTACTTGAATACTTACTACAGTTCTACTTTCAGAATTGAAAGGTCAGAAAAAATTGAAAGCAGAGTTTCCAAGAGATACTTGTATGTCCTATTCACAATAGCCCAAAGGTGGAAGTAACACAGTGAACACTGGCAGGTGAATAGATAAATAAATATGGTATAGCATAAAATGGAATATTATTCAGCTTTAAAAAGAAAGGAAATTTTGACAGGTGCTAAAACATGAGTGAATCTTCAGGACAATACACTAAATGAATAACCCATTTACAAAATAACACTGCATGATTCCACTGATATGAGCTATCTAGAGTAAAATTCAGAGATTGGAAGTAGCACAGTGGCTGCCAGGGCTAGGTCATGGGAGAGGAGAATGTGTGCAAAGCTTTGTTCACAGAATAAAAAGTTCTGAGGACTGAGGATCTCCTTCACAAAAATGTGAACATACAAAACTGCTGAATGTCTACTTCAAAATAGTTAAGACAGTCTGGGGATGGAGCTCAGAGGGACAGCACTTGCCTAGCATGTGCAAGGCATTGGGTTCCATCCTCAGCACCACATACACAATAAATCTTAAGATTGTAGATTCTATGGGGTGCGTGTGTGGCAGGGGGGTGTGGGTTTTTTTTGGTGGTACTAGGATTTGAACTCAGGGCTTTGTGCTTGCTAGGCAGGTGCTCTACCACTTGAACCATACCTCCTGCTCTTGTTATTTTTTTTTTAACACAATAAAAAAAGAAGAAAATAAGGAGATCTTTCTTCAGCAGCTGAAGGCCCAGGCTGTGTAGTGCCTGACCCTTGGTGGTGCATTTGAGACACTCAGCAGCCTGTCTGCAGCTGATTGCTGGGCAGGAGGAAGAAATCCTTGGAACACTGTGCTCCTTGAGACTAAGTATAGGTTGGTGATGACAGGACAGCCAAGCGAGCCAAGCCACCGAAACCCAGCTCAAGCCTCATCCCAGACCCTGGGACATGGGAAACTATGGCAAGCAGCTGCTGATAGAGTCTCTGGGGGTCAGCTGAGAAGGGCAGTAGTCACTGTTCCTTAACTTGGTCTTCCCTCCCGGGGGCGGGGGGCATAGGATGACCCCAAAGCCACTGCCATGCAAGCTCCATGTCACTGTTAGTGTCCAAAGCTTTCTTACCTACAGCATAGCACCCTCATGGCAGGCACTGCCAATTAATTCCAAAATTCAGTGCCACCAGATTCAGATATGACCTCAGGATCCTCAGCCCAGCAGCCCCTACCAATTGGAGCTGACATTTGACTTCAAATCTATTTTTCTCAAAGTATACTCACATACTAGGGTAGAAAGGGCTGGTAGTGACCTCCCCACTTCGGGAGAGCCTGAAGTTCAGCTTAGGGCTGAGATGGAGATCTTTTCTTCTCACCTGGAATCTTTTAGAGTCAACAAGTTCAGGGAAAGTTCATTGCCTCCTGGATTCCACATGGAGAGCCCTGGCCTGGATCCAGGGACGCCTGCCAGGAATCCCTCCCTTGGGCTTCTCAGGTCTCCTGGAGACTCCCATTTCCTTCCAGAACAAAAGGTTGCCATAGCAAACAGACACCGATTGCCTCCCCTAGCCAGGCCTTGGAGACTGGTCAGGGCAGCCCAGGGCAGGTGCAGGGGCTACCAAGTTCTTCTAAGAAAAGCCTGGAAACCCAGTGCCCTTCAGCAGGCTGCTCTTGGGACCAGCTCCACAGGGCTGGGGGCGGGGGAGTCAGCAGGCTCCCTCCCTGTGTCTGCTTAACACAGGTCCAGAGGTCGCAGCCTAAGAGTCAGGGTAGCTGCTGCATCTCCACCACCAGAACCTCTGGCATAAGCCACCCAAAAGCCCCCAAGACTGACTCAGCCTGCCCTATCCTTTTCTTATTAAGTTACTCAGAACTTAATTAAATGCTGGCCTGAGGATGCAGGGTGGTGAATGGTTCCGGTTCAGATTTTTGTGCAGTTTACTGGACTTGGATCCCAACTCTGTGAATCCCTAGCTGTGTGGCCCCAGAACCCTGAAGTTACATTTCCTCATCAGTAAAGTGGAACAACAGCCACATTTGCCTGCTGGGCATATCATGAGGATAAAATGAGATGGTGCCTGTAAAGTGCCAGGCCAATTCTGGGCATGTGGAAAGGATTCTGTGGTCCTCATCCGTTAGCTGTTTTTGCTCTAAGAGCTCCCTGCTGGAGTCACCTGCAGAGCAAAATCTCAAAATCGAAATCCCAAAGCCTGCCACTCACTCCAGATCAATTGAATCAGAATCTCTGGGCATTAGTATGTTTAAATCCTCCCAGGTAATTCTAGTGAGAACAGTGCTCTGAGCTCCCAGAAACAGGCTAGTTCTATGTGCACAGTGGTCACCTGATGTATCACTGGCCTATAGGTCATGCTGAGTAGAAGGGCTGCAATTAATTTCTCCTGTAGCCCAGCACCAGTGAGCACTCCTTACCGTGGAAGTGTTTCTCTGCCATGGTGAGCTGCCCTGGCCAGGGTTGGTGGCCCTGGAAGCTGAGGGCTGGACCCTGAAGTGAGCCTCATGCCCTCTTCTGGGGCCTGAGTGTCAGGCTTGCTGGACGATATTCCTTGTCCTGCAGTGGGTGCCACCTCCTGGCTGGTGAGGGCCTCACTGACCCTGTCGGGTGCTGCAGATGATTCCAGGCCAGTCCTAGGGTCTTTACTGGATATTTCAGGAGCTTTGGCTTCCACTTGTGTGGGCAGCAGCAGGTGTCCAAGGGGCACCTGATTCAGACTAGGACCTCCATCTCCCTGCTCTGGCGAGGCCTCTGTCTGAATGAGGAGGTCAGCTCTCATCCCTGAAGTGATGAGGGGTGGCCTCTCCACTGTCCCCTCTGGCAGGTCAGCCTTCTGGCTCTCTACATGAAAACAGGCAGGGTGAAAATGTATTACAACCCAGAGGAACCAGTCACAAAGACACTGCAAAGTGTTTGAATGAGACCATTCAGTGATCATGTTTACAGGACCCAAAGACTGGAAACAACCCAGAAGACCCTTAAGAGGTTGTCTGAGCTATGGAACATCCATACAATAAACTGTTGCATAGCCATAAAAAAGAAAAATTAGTATCTCTCTATACAGTTTTAGAGTGATCTCCAGGTATATTGTAAGTGAAAAAAAGCAAGGTGGAGAGCAGTGTGTTTGGAAGCTGTTTATCTAAGGCACAAATGCATGTGTGTGTATATAACCACTTATAATGTGGTCTAAATGTGCCTCAAAGGAAAGACCACAAAGCTTTATGAATGGCTACAACTGAACCACAGAAATGTTCAGGGCAGAAGCTGAACTTCTCTTAACATTACTTTATTGATTTGACTTTAGAACCATGTACATATTATGCAAAATTTTTAAAGAAAATTTAAGCTTAAAATCCAAAACAGTTCCATTTAAAGAAAAATGAAATAAATACACCTGAGCATTCAGTTGGTGACATAATGTTTTCAAAGCATAGCAGTTGACTGTCTGTCTCTTCAGTGGGATACACATACAGCACAAAAAGGGCTGAGAAAAAGAGACAAGCAGTTTCCTGGTTTTTAAGGAATCACACCGCACTAGCACTGCAGTGTTGTTATTCTGAACCATTGCCTGTGCAACAGAAAGAAAGCAAGGGCCACTCACCTTCCCACAGCCCCCTGATGTCTGCCCTCACGCCTCGGGTGCTCAGCTCATGCTTCAGTTTTGCTCCCTTCTCTTCCACTTGCTCTCTGTTCTAAAATAACAACCCCAAACTATCATCATCATCACCATCATTCAGGCCACAAGCATTTGCTGACCTTAAGTACATGTGCTTAAGATAAAGTAGTCAGGTTATTTCACATAGTCCACAGTAATAATAGACAGTAGATACGGCTTATTTTTGGGGATAAGGATGTTGAGAATTCCAGTTTCAAATCTAGAATATACATTTTTTAAAATGCTTCACTATATTGCTGTTGAAGGGCAGACTCAGCCCCTGACAGAGTTTATAAATGGACTGAACCTCGAAGGACTTAGATCAGGGCTGGAAATAAACTTCATCTTAAAATGTCAGCTTGGGCCAGGTTACAGTTGCTTGCATCTGTAATCCTAGCTACTCAGGAAACAGAGATCAACAGGATTATGGTATGAAGCCAACCACAGGCAAATAGTTTGCGAGACTCTACCTCGAAAAAAATCTAACAGAAAACAGGGCTGGCAAAATGGCTCAAGTGGTAGAGCACCTGCCTAGGAGGTGTGAGACCCTGAGTTCAATGTCAGCTCAGTTCATGGCTCCTAGAGTGCTGGGTAAGACTGAAGTCTGAGGTCAGGTAAATCCATGCTTGGCGGGAGGGGAGGGGCACCACAATCAATGGATAATGTCTGCCTGGGAACTGGGTAAGTGGATCCATGTCCACTCACATGCTACACATGAAGCAGTGTAGCAGTATAGCCAGGATCATGGATTTTCAAACCAGCCTTGCTGGGTTTAAACCCCACCTTTACTACTCGGCCAAGCTCCTTAACTTCTCTGCGTCTCACTTTCTCATCTGTAAAGTGGGGATAATAATATTATCTGTGTCACGGAGTCAGTGTGAAGATTAGCCAATTAATTGGTGGAATGTCTTGAGAAGTGTACCTAGCACATAGTAGGTACTCACAGTGATTTTGAACTGTCATCGTCAAATGAGTCATGGTGTTCAGATGCTTAGCGCTGGCCCACAGGAGCACACAGCAGCTTTCCCTTAAATCCGAATGTTCTGTTCAAGAACAGAGCTTGGCGTGCCACGCTCCCTGTCTGAACAGTCTGGGCAGACAGATGTCCTGCTCTCAAGCAAATATTTCTATGCAGTCCAGCCTCTTTCTGGGTCCCCCGGAGCTTCCACGCATTTTGTACCATTGGTTGGTAAGTCCCTAATATGGCTTCTGGTGTGACACAGCTCCCAGGCACAAGAAACTCACTCCTGCCTTGGCCACAGAGGTTCTTAACTGGGAGCCCAGAGGTCAAAAACAGCTCAGTACACTTTTTGTTTCACTTTAATTTATTTCCATATTTAAAAATGTAGATCTTTAGATTGTAATTCTAGGATCCCTTTGGGTGTGATAGGATTGTTTCTTATTTTAATTTGTGCTAGTAGGGACCTAGCTACAAACATTTGTTGAATTATATACTTATTTAAAATGTGTATAGTTTCTGTATGTTGTGCATGCAGTTTATTGTGTGTAAGTTATACCTTAATAAAATTATTTAATTATTATGCCTTAATAAATTTGGTTAGAAAAAAATTCCAAGTTCCAACTTTCTTGAAAATGTACCTGAACATCTGGCAGCTCTAGGCTCAAATGATAAAGATAGCTGGGGCATCTCTCTCCAGCTGTGGCCCTATACTTCTCCCGAATGTCTGCCTGACCCTAAAGGTGAGGTTGGTCCCATTGTTTTTCCTACACTGTGCCCATTTCTCTCAATCCTATTACCTGCTCACACCTTTGGGATTCCAGGACACCATGTTTTGTCCTTTTTATGGTAAGGAAATAACATATAAAGAACACACAACCCAGTGAAAGGCACCTAAAACATGCTAGCTGCTGTTATCATGATTATCAACAATGTCATCAGTGGCAGACAGACCTTCTGCTCAACAAAGAGAGCTCCCTTCTCCTGGTCTGCAAGCTCTGTTCTGCCAACCCCGCAGCTGGGGAACTGGAGGCATTATCACTGACCTCCTCCTGCGTCACCTCACTGGTGGAAAGGGACTTGTACAGATTGTCCTCTGGCAGACCTTGCTGGGCTCAAATTGCCCTCTCCCTCCCTGCCTTTAGCATAGGAACACTCTCTCTCTCCTCCCACATACCCCTCACAGCCAGGTCCTGTCACCAGCACTTTACCTTCTGGGCTCTGCCTTATCCATGCAGAAGTAGAAGAGATTCAAACCCCATTCTACAGGGTTGGTGCACTGAACAACTTGACCCGCCCCTGGCTGAGCCTGAAGCTCTTTCCTGAGAGAGGACCTGGCTTCTAGTAATCTAATTCATTGTTACAACCAACAAAGTTCACCGAGCACTTCAGAAGATCTGAGGAGGGCCTTCACAAGGCCCTGGTAGACTTTTCAAATTGAACAGACAGTGAGTGCTAGAACTGAATTGGATTTCACAGATGATTACTAGGCCCTGCTCCCTTAGGAAACACCATCTCCAGAAAGTCTCATGATGCAGGTTTCAGCACTGACAATGTGGTAAACAGTTGTGGTTGGTGTGAATTCACTATCTGTTCTCTGAATACCTCCTGTAAGACCAGCCTGGGAAGTAGAGACTTCCTTGCATGAACCAGTAAGCAGTGGACAGTCTGATTGGAGAATAGACTCAAACCAGCAAACAGTAACAAGATATTCAACACAAGGACCAGAGAGAGATGGATTGAGTGCCAGTAGAGCAATGCAGACAAGAAATGTTATGAGAACTCAGAGAGTTTGATAACTCCGTACTCCACACCAGCCCAGAAATGCCTAAACAGTTGCAAAATGTATGACAGCCAATTTAATTAGTATATAAAGAGCATGTATAAGTTAATAAAGAAAAGAGGAAAATAAAATAGAAAAAAGAGAAAAGATCACAAACAGTTTACTAAAACTGCAAAAGACTTTAAACCTACAGAGAATGTTTAATATTTATGCTGAAATTACCTTTAATAAAAAGTCTTACATATTTTAGCCAGGTATAGTGGCTAAAAATCAGAGAACTTTGTAGACAGGAGAATCCCAAGTGCAAGGCCATCCTGAGCTACACAATGAATTTGAGGTCAGTCTGGGCTATGTAGTGAGTTCAAGGCCAACTCAGCATTAATAGTGAGACCATGTCTTAAAAAACCAAAAGAAGAGTTAGCTTTAAGAGCATATAATCAATTGCTATATTTAAATCTGATTCAAATAAACTGTAAAAAAATTTAAAAGTGAGTGAGTACGGTGGCTCACACCTGCATCCCTGAGAGTGGCAGAGATGAGAGAATCATGGTTCAAGGCCAGCCTGGGCAAAATTTCATGAGACCCTATCTCAACAAACAAGCTGGGCATGGTAACAGATGTCTACAATCTCAGGCAGGCAGGTTGCAGAGGTAGGAGGATTGCAGTCTGAAGCCAGTCCCAGGAAAAAAAAGCATCAGAATCTACTTGAAAAATAAACTAAAGCAAAAAGGGCTGGATGTGTGGCTCAAGTGATAAGAGCAGTTGCCTAATAAGCACAAGGTACTGAGTACTGCCCCAATCTTTTTTTAAAGTTTAGGACAATTAGGGGTATTTTAATACTAACTTCAAATAACATTAGAAGTCATCATTCACATTTTAGGTCTAATAATGGCATTACAATTATGTTGGTTTTTTTTTGTGGTGGTAGCACTGGAGTTTAAACTCAGGGCTTCACATTTGGGTGCTCTCCCACTTGAGCCATACCTCCAGAACCCCTTTTTTTTGCTTTAGTTATTTTTTGAATAGAGTCTTGCATTTTTTGCTTTGAACAGTGATCCTTCTACCTATAGCCTCTCTCATGGCTGCAATTATAGCTATGAACCATCATGCCCAGATTACTTATTGAGATGAGGTATTGTTAACTTTTTGCCTGATCTGTTCTCAAACTTCAGTCCTCCTGATCTCTGCCTCCCAAGTAGCTGGGATTCCAGCTATGAGCCACCATGCCCAGTCTAGTTATGTTTATGAAATAGTCTTTATTGCCCAGGCACAGTGGCTCATGCCTATAAAATCAGCTAAGCAGAAGGCATAGGTAGGAGGATCAAGGTCTTAGCTGGCCCTGGGCAGAAGCACAAGACCCTATCTGAAAAAAATAAGTAAAGCAAAAATGGCTGGAGGTGTGCCTCAGGTGATAGAGCATCTGCCTAGTAAGCACAAGGTCCTGAGTTCAAACCCTAGTACTACCAAATGCTGAGAACATTTTCCTGTTACTGGGAATCAAGTCCAGGGCATTGTGCATGGTGGGTGATGCTCAGTCACTGAGCTGCAGTGCTCATTACAGCTTGGATTTCTCTCATAATGTATGCAAAAGCTTGCTGCTTCTACTTTGGCTAAAAAGCATTATTCAATATTTTCATTCTTTTTCTATCTGTGGATGAAACATGAGATCTTATGTGCATGTGTTTTTAATATTTCAGAATGAAAACTTCAAACATTGACCAAAATTGAGATTAGTACAGTTGTCCCTTAGTATCCAAGGGGATAGGTTCTAGGGTCCCTCCTGGATACCCAAATCCACAGATGCTCCAACCTCCTACATGAAACAGTGTGGTATTTCCATGTAATCTATGTCCACCCCCTGTATTCTTCCAGTACTCTCCAGAACACCTACAACACCTAATACAATGCAAGTACTGGGTAAGTAATTGTTATACTATATTATTTAGAAATAAGAGCAAGAAAAAAACCATGTATACATATTCAACATAGATACAATATCCCCCCTACCTCCCGAATATTTTCGATCTCAGGTTGGTTCAGTCCTCAGATGCAGATCCCACAGATATAGAAGACCAACTGTATAAGGAGTCCCCAGTCTCTTGAATAACTTTTCTGAAGGCTGTTAGACTTAATGATACAAATTTACCCTTTGGCTTAGCATTTACACTGCATGACTGGTATGTGTCATGCAGATAAACTTACACTTGTATTCAAAGACATACATGTATGGTTATTCATTGCATTATTATTTATCATGGCTAACAGTGAAGAACAATATAAACAGATGATATGGGACTAGTTAACAAATTAAGACACATCCCCCAAATGGAGTACTCTGTAACTTTAAGAAACAAGAACAAAGAAGCTTTCTAGGTATAAATACAAAACAATGCCTGCCTTCCCTCCTCTTAAAAAAAATCAAAGCCAGAATGATGTGAACAATATTTGGATGAAAACAAATCAGAAACCTGAGGATGATGCTTCCAGTACTGTGCTTAGAGATGCACAGCCTCTATCTGAAAGGGTCTTAAGGAAACTGGAACCTGTGGTTCTGGGATGGGGGGGATGGAGCAGGAGGAACTTGGTTCTTCATACCACGTGAGTTTTCTTTTCTTTTTTTGGTGCTGGGGATGGAACCCTGGGCCCCCTCCATTATAGGTACTTTGCCTTTAGCATGTACATAGTAGGTTAATTTAATTTTCTTCTCAAAGCTATTGATTTATTTTATTAGATTAATTTTCTTTTATAAAACCTGGGTTGCTTAACAAGTGGCAAGAGCCACTGCCAGGATCCCTTCTCCCCTGTAGGCACTTGAGGGGGTTATAGGGGAGGCAGGAGGGAGCTGTGGGGAGGGTCCTGCCCAGAAGGGAGGGGGCAGCTGAGTGAGCTTCAACCTGCCTGGGCTGGGAAGGAAGTCACCCTCCACCTGATGCAGTTAGGCATAACCTCCTTCTGACTCCAACTCTCCCCTGGCAGAAGCTGGTGGCAACTGCAGTGATCTGAAATGGTGGCTCCAGGCTGTATGAGTGTTGCTAAGCGGCTGACCCTCAGCTGTTCCCAAACACAGGCATCCTTTCCACACATCTCCCCTACCCCCACAGGGGCCAAGCTTCCATTACCAGCAGGTTTGATTATGTAACCCTTGGGAACAGCAGCTTCCAGAAATGCCACACCCCCACCCCCAGGCTCCGGCCCCTGCCCAATATCTCCCATGGGTCACTGTCAACACATCTTCCCACGAGTAACTGCACACACTGCCCACTCCAGGACAAAGCACAAGGTTGGGACAGGAAGAGAATTTTGGGTTTCTGAGTAGAGACTGTCAGGGGAAACTGATCACTAGGACCAGAAAGGAGCCCTGAGGAAGAGAAGTCAAGAACTTTTATGTTCTTCCCTCCTTCCACCAGGTTGTCCCCTGTGTCTAAGTTGCCAAGGCCATGGTCCTGGTCAGGATATTGCCTCTTCCTTCCCTGTGGGCAGTGGTCAGTGGGGTGTCTGGAAAGCCACTAATGACCTCTAAGTCTCCAACTCTTCTTTTCACCATTAACAGGAGATCCAAGAAGGGAACAACATCCCAGTAGCCCCACCAGGGCTCGTAGGCCTCCCTTCTAGCCAGGGAAGTGAAGCAGGAACCAACCTCTTCGGGGTCCTCTGCCAGGCTGCCTTTCCTCCAGGGGACATTCCTTTGCATGATGAAATCTACCACCTTTGAGTTCTGGAACACAGCTCCCACAAAAGCCATGGCCCTGTCCATAGTCACCACCATTCTGAAGAGGGCTTCAAGTCTGGCGCTATACTGGGCACCATCTTGTTGGATGGCCCTCACCAGCTCTAGGACCTCAGGCCACGCAGCCTGAGTGTCAGCTGGAGGAGTACTGTCAGCCCTAGCTGGACCCAACCCTTGGAAGGCCTTCAGCCAGTACAGACCTTGCTCCAGATGGCCCATGCCTTGGCACACACACTACAGTTTCTCCATGACATTTTCTTGGAAATGCAAGGGTTTATCCACCTTCTCACTCAGCACATTAGGCTTTTTGTCCATGGTGGTTAAGCAAGCTTTGCCTAACACTGGCAGACCCTGGGGTCCCAAGCCCTCCTTTGAGGCTCCTGATATCCCAATTCAGTCTTGACCAGAGCAAAAGCAAAAAAACAGAAGGGACACAGACCTCTGGCTTTCACTTACACAGTATTGTGTGTAAGTTCATTGTCTTTGGTGGCTACAGTCCTACCCATGGTGCCAGCCTGCACACCCACCCAGGCTGCTTTGGGAGCCTCAAGGGCCAGGTTCTCTTTGGGCCTCTGCTTTGCCTATCTCTCACTCAACCATGGGGGCTGTGAGTGACAGACTAAATTTGGCCCAGGCCCTTCTCCTTGGGGCCCCTTTGACATCACAGCAGTGTTTAACATTCCTCTTTGAGAGGCTGCTGATGAGTAAATATTTTAAGAATCTGTTGAGGGCAAGCTGGGGATCGTGTAGTTGATGCTAAAAAGGTTGGGACCAAATGTGTCCTTTAGGTAAGCTGTACTCTCCAGCTTTAGGGATCCCAGGCGCTGAGGACATGGGAGTCCCATCTGCCATAGGTGCATACCAATATACAAAGCAGACACAAGGAAAGATGCTCAGGTTGTCACTGAGGTGGAACACAGGGGCCACCTCATAGTTCCAAGGATGTCACAGAGAAGCCTGTCTTACATCTTCTTCATCTAGTCCCTCATCAGAAAAAAGCAGGAGCCAGAGAAGGAAATGTGTCCAAGGCACCCAGGAACGTGGCCTCCTGAAGATGCTTGACCCATGGTCAGTGAGGCACTAAGGGAAGGGATTTGGTGTCCCCCCAACCAGCTTCCCTCTTCTGAATAAAAGCAATTATGATAAACTCCAACCTGGAAGTTTGATGATCAAAAGCATCATTAGATGGTTTTGTATTTTAAGCCATAAGTGGCCTATCAGTATAACGCCCATATTGTGCAAATGCAGCTTGACCACAACCCCCTCTTTATGCTCCCTCTATCAGGATAGTGGTCCCCAAGAAACCCACATACAAGTTCAAATTCATTTCTGAAAACAGTCCTTGGTGTTGTTGGCAGAATGACCCAAAACAAGCCCAGTTTGTTCTATCACTGTGATTAAAAACAAACACAAACTGAGCATGGTGGTGCATACCTGTAATATCAGCACTCAAAAGGCTAAGGCAGGAAGATTGTGAGTTTAAGCTGGAACTACACAGCAAGTTACAAGCCAAACTGAACTACACATTGGGAACTCATCTAAAAAAAAAAACAAAACAAACAAACAAAACCCACAAAAATAAAGTGTCCTTAGAAAAACAAATTTGGGGAGCATACCCCACCAGCCCCTCTTTGGCAGAACCTCATCTACCATAGAAAAGGCTCCTGTATTTGACCAGAGGAACACTTTCCCCCACATTTCACATATAATACTTTCCAGTGGAACCAGGATTCTGTGTATCAAACCTTGGGAAATGTCTGTCTAGAGAAATCTCTGGAAATCTAACACCTGGCCTAATATCTCTCTCCCAGTTGGTGCCAATAATTTTTATAAGGTGAAATTCACACCAGTCTATAGAGTCAGACCCCAGTTTCTAAGAGAGAGTTTCTACCAACAGGCCGCTGCATGATTATTGATGCTATGAAGACCTTCAGAGCAACCAGCAAGTGCAAGGTTAATAAAGCCATGGAAAGATACTAAAAGTCCAAAGGAAGCAAGCAAGTGCCCCATTCCCACATCAACCTCTAAAGCTAACCTTTGTAAATGACAAAAGGATTTGCTCAAGGTCCCCTCCTAAGCAGCAAGTTCCCAAGGCAGTTCATTTACTAGAAATGAGACCACTGAAGTCACTCACTATTCCAGAGCTTCTGTGGAGGTCTCTCAGGGCAGAATGATGCCTCTGCACTGCCTAGCATAGGGCAGGGACTCAATATAACAGCAATGAAGGAAGGAATCCAGTGGGGCAGCAGGAAGCACTAGGAGAGCTGATCTTCAGGAGACCTCTGTGGGAGGGGCAGCAGCTGGGCTTTCCCAGATCCCAGAACCTTCTAAAGACTGCACAGGGCAGGAAACTGACAATTCCCAGAAGTAGATTCTGGGACCTTTGGGGAGGTTGCTCAGAATACACTGACATAAGCTCTTGAGGCTTCTTTGGTGAACAGGAATAGCCAAGAACCCCAGCTTTGAATTCCCTTTGTTTTTCAGCCTTCAGGAGAAATGAGTTTGTGCACACATGGGTTTACTGAGGGCTGATGCATTGGCTTCTCTCTAACCCTCACTGTTGTGTAGGCCAAGCAAATAGCAGGGCAATTCTTTGGGGCAATGATGCCTGCCCAGAGGATAGGGAGGGATTCCACCTCAGAAGACCAGAGAAGAAGCAACCGTAAATACAGCAACACTTCCTCCTTAGGCGAGGACAGTGTAGTTGACCCACTTCTGGAAAAAGACAGGCTGACCTCTGTTTGCCTTAGGGTGGGATTAGAGTAGACTGAGTGAGCCCCAGTATTCTCCCATAGAATTTTGGTGACCCAATAGTCTTGGGGCTCATGATGACAGATTGAACATTTTCATTTTAAAGTGATATCAAGACTGACTCAAATGGAAAGATCCACCTTCTGAATTTATCTCCTTCCCTTCCAGAGACTTGATTAAAGTGATAATAAAGGAAGAAAATAAATACATACCCTCAATGACACAGAGAATGGAAGAGGAGTCATTGGTGAAGGAGTGTTACCAATGAATTTTTGGAAAACATCTTTTGGGGGAAAGGTAACTAGCAGACTACAGCCTAACTGGGAACAAAGGAGAGTATAGACAAGCATAGAATCAGCTGGCCCTACAAATCCCAGAAAAGCAGGTGGACCTGACATCCCAGGAGGGACAGGCAGGAATAGAAATGTGGCACTGAGGGTCCACTGCAAGTCCACTCCTCCCCACTTAGGAGACTCCACCCTTTTTTCTGTCTATTTCTGAGGAAACTCAGTGGTCCACAGCATAATAGCTCTATGTCCTGGCACTGGGAGGGGAATCCCTCACCTCATCATCCTCAACAAAGCCAGCAGTCAACAAGACTCCTACCCAGTTTTTAGCACCTTATTCTGAAATATGCACAGACAAGAAACAATCACCAGTATTCAAAGAAAGCCCCCAGGATGAAGAGGAGACCAAAATAAATAAACAGAAACAATCATGGGGGAAATAAAGAAAATGAGGAACAGAAGAAGCTTTCAAAAAGTCTGTCATTCATTGACACAGAAAATATGAAAGGCTATTCCATCCATTAAAAAGAGATGTTATGGGAAAAGAACAATCATAGAATATGAGAAATCTTGGAAATTAAAGCCATGAATGTTAAAATTTAAAAATCCAAAATGTGGATTAGAAAATAAAGTTAAGCTATTATACCAGAAAATAGAACTGAAAATGAAGCTATATACATAGGAGAGAAAAGATGTTAGACTATGGGTTCACTACTCTCACACTACTCTGGAATGGAGTTCCAGGAAGAGAAATGAAAGGTGGAAGGAATTTGTCAAAGAAACACTAAAGTCGTCATGTAATTTTAGATCATAGGAAAAAGAAAACATGATAAAAAGATCCTTAATTTTTAAAAATCACATACTAAAGAACTGAAATCAAAATATTATCAAACTTACCCTGAAAACAACTAGAGAGACATGATTATTCTCCACTCATCCAAGGATCCTTGCAGCTTCTTAACATCTCAAAGAGAAAAGCTGAAGCAGGGCTTTCTTCCAGAGGTTCAAGGGCATGGTGCTAAATTCAGCTTGGTTCTGGTGAAGACCTCATGGTTGATGGCTTCACAGTGATTCAGGGAATCATTTTCCCCTCAAAAATATCAGATTGAAGACTGCCACTCACCAGCCCACCAGGCCTCTGCCCAGCAGAACAGCCAGGCCTTTGTCATGCAGAACAGCCAGACCACCGCTCACCAGCCTGCAAGTACTCCACCCCAGGACCCAACAGGTCTCCATCCCATGGGCCATCTGGGCCACCGCCCTGCAGGCCTGCCAGCCTGCTGCTTGTTGGCCCACCAGTCCTCTGCCCCGCAGAACAGCCAGGCTGCTGCTCATCAGCCTACCAGGCCTCCAACCCATGGACCCACCAGGCCTTGGCCCTGCCAGTCTTCTGCCTTGCAGGCCCACCAGGCCACCGCCTACCTGCCGGCCCACCGGCACACTGGCCACCACCTGCCACAGGAGGGCTCCAACACCACCAGATGCAGGCTCCAAACCTGCCTAGAAGACACAGACAAACAGGACTGGATGCTAAAGGAGTAACACCAGAACTACTAAGACTGAAATTCTATTATTCCTAAACCAGGAATTTTTTTCTTCTCTTTTCTTTAAGTGTTTATTTGTCTTGTTCGCTGTCTGATTGTCCACTATATCTCCCGTTGATATCTTTGGTTCTCCATTTTTTTCTTTTCCTTCTTTTTCTTTTTTCTCTTTTCTCCTTTCTTCTTGGTTTTGTTAGTTCTACTATTGTAAGTTAGCTAATACTAAATTACACATAGACCAAGGACAGAAACCGTACAAAGCAGAATGATGGGAAGATGAAAAAATGATAGAAATCATTCTCACCCCAAAAATAAATTAGTACAGGATTCAGAGGGAAATGAAGAAAACAGATACCCAGATCCAGACTCCAACAAAACAAAGATAAACTACAGCAAGGAACCCAACGAAGCCCACAAGAACAATCTGAAAGAAGAAATCCTGCAAGTAACCAATGAGAATTTCATAGAGATGATACTAGACATTGTCAACCAAAACGTAAAGGAGGCACTCAAGGAATTCCAAGAAAATAAAAATAAAGAATATGAGAAAACACAAGAAAAAAAAATAAGTGAAATCATAGGAGCCCTAAATAGGCACCAAAATGAAGCAGAGAACACCATAAATAGAGAGATAAATGAACTAAGGACAAAAATTGACACTATTAAAGAGGAAGTGACCCATGATATGGAAAACCTCAGAAAAAAGAATGAAACAGAAAACAAAATACAATGGAAGGCCACTCCAACAGACTAAAACAAGCAGAAGACAGAATATCAAAACTTGAAGATGAAATGGTAATTAAAGGAAAAACTGAAGAACTATTAGTCAGACAACTCAAGACTTGTGAAAGGATCTGTCAGAATTCACCAACTCTGTCAAAAGACCAAACCTGAGAATCATGGGCACTGAAGAAGGAGAAGAGGTGAAAGCAAAAGGAATTCATAATATATTCAACAAAATAATAACAGAAAAATTCTCAAATCTAGAGAAAACTATGCCCATTCAGGTACAGAAAGCCTCCAGGACACCAAACAGACTTGACCAAAATAGAACAAACAACAAGCAAAGAAAATAGAGAAAGAATATTGAAGGCTGTAAGAGAGAAAAAACAAATAACAAAAAAGGTAAATCCATCAAAATCACAGCAGATTTTTCAACGGACACCTTAAAAGCAAGAAGAGCATGAAGTGAGGTCTTCCAGGCACTGAATGGAAATAACTTTAACCCTAGGATACTCTACCCAGCAAAAGTATCACTCAAAATAGATGGAGCAATAAAAGTCTTCCATGATAAGCAGAAACTAAAACAATATATGACCACCAAACCACCACTACAAAAGATTCTCCAAGGAATTCTGCACACAGAAAGTGAAAGCAAACAAAACCATGAAAGGGCAGGCAATACCAAACCACATGAGAAGAAAAGGCAAGAAAGTAGAGAGTAACATTGATTCAGCTGCACACAATCAAACCCTTAAACAACAAAGATGACTAAATGACAGGGATCACCACATAACCATCAATACTAACAATGATTGCTAACAGACTTAACTCCCCCTCAAAAGACACTGGTTGGAAGGGGATTGGATTTTGATCAACTGATAAAGCGAGAACACACAAGGGAGGTATGAGGATAGGTAAGACACCTAAAAAATTAGCTAGCTTTTGTTGCCCTCAATGCAGAGAAACTAAAGCAGATACTTTAAAGCAACTGAGGCCAATAAGAGAAGGGGACCAGAAACTAGAGAAAAGGTTAGTTCAAGAAGAATTAACTTAGAAGGTAACACACATGCACAGGAAATCAATGTGAGTCAACTCCCTGTATAGCTATCCTTATCTCAACTAGCAAAAACACTTGTTCCTTCCTATTATTGCTTATACTCTCTCTTCAACAAAATTAGAGGTAAGGGCAAAATAGTTTCTGCCAGGTAGTGAGGGGGTAGGGGGAGAGGGAGGGGGTGGGAGATAAGGGAGTGGGTGGGGGAAGGGAGGAAGAAATGACCCAAACATTGTATGCACATATGAATAAAATTAAAAATTAAAAAAATTAAAACTTCAAAAAAAAAGGGACACCAGTTGGCAAATGGAGTTTAAAAAAGGCAAGATCCAACAATCTGCTGCCTAAGGGAGAACCCATCCATTGACAGAAATAAGCACTGGCTGAGGGTGAAGGGCTGGAAAAAGATTTACCAAGCCAATGGCCACCAAAAACAGGCAGCGGGTAGCAATACTTATCTAGCGACAAAAAATTAGACTTTCAAAATTTTACATTTGATCAAAAGAGGATAAAGAAGGAAACTCCCATACTAATAAAAGGGGGAAGTACACCAAAGGAAATAACAATTATCAATCTATATGAACCCCAACATCAACATACCTAACACCATCAACATACTCTGAAGGACCTTAAAAGCTATATAGACTCCAACAGAGTGGGTAGTGAGAGACTTTAATACCCCCCATTACCAATAATAGGGTCATCCAAGCAAAAAGTCAATAAAAAAAAATCCTAGAACTAAATGATACCATAGACCAAATAGACCTAGCTGATATCTACAAATATTTCACCCAGCTTCTGCACAATTATACAATTCTCTCCAGCAGCTCACAGAATCTTCTCCAAAATTGATCATGTCTTAGGGCAACCAAGCAAGCCTGAGCAGATTAGAAAAATAGAAATAATCCCATGCATTCTATCGGATCACAATGCATTTAAAACTAGAAACTCAACAACAAAAACAACAGTAGAAAACATGCAAACAATTGGAAGCCAACAACAACATTGTTCAATGATCAATGGGTCATTGATGAAATAAAAGAGGAAATTAAAAGGTTCTGAAAGTTAATGAAAATGAAAACCATGACCTGCCAGAACTTATGGACATAGTAAAGGCAGTCCTGAGATGAAAGTTTATAGCCATTAGTGCATATATTAAAAGGTCAGAAAGATCTCAAAACAATGACCTAATGCTACATCTCAAACTCTAGAAAAACAAGAACAAGCAGACCCAAAACAAGCAGAAAGAGAGAAATAATAAAAATAAGGGCCGAAATCAATGAAATAAGAAACAAACAAAATAAACAAAAACATACAAAGAATCAATGAAACAAAAAGCTGGTTCTTTGAAAAATAAATAAGATGACAGACCTGGCAAACCTGACTAAAATGAGGAGAAAAAAAAAACCCAATCAGTAAAATCAGAAATGCAAAAAGGGAGATAACAACAAATACCATGGAAATCCAGGAAATCATCATAGACTACTTTGAGGAAAACCTATATTCTAACAAATTTGAAAATCTTGAAGAAATGGTAGATTTCTAGATACTTATGACCATCCAAAACTGAACCAAGAAGATATTATCACCTAAAAGATCTATAACACAAATGAAATGAAGCAGCAATAGTCTCCCAAAAAAAGAAAAATCCAGGACATGAGGGATTCACTGCTGATTCTATCAGACCTCTAAAAAAGAACTAATACCAACCCACCTTAAACTGTTCCATTAAATAGAAAGGAAGGAAAAACTGCCTAACTCATTTTATGAAGCCAATATTACACTTATCCCAAACCAGGCAAAGACACCTCCAAAAAGGAGACTATAGGCCAATTTCCTTTTGTTTTTAGATTTTAAAAAAAAATTTATTTTATTATCTGTGCATAAAAATGTTGTGGGCATTTCTCCTCCCTCTCCCCCCTCCCTCTCCCCCCTCACTTCCAGGCAGAAACTATTTTTCCCTTATCTCTAATTTTTGTGTAAGTATAGGGTTAGGTAATAAGCAATAATAGGAAGGACCAAGGGTTTTGCTAGTTGAATAGGATAGCTATACAGGAGTGACTCTCATTGATTTCCCATGAATGTGTGTTTACCCTTCTAAGTAATTCTTCTTGAACTAACCTTTCTCTAGTTCCTGGTCCCCTTCTCCTATTGGCCTCAGTTGCTTTTAAAGTATCTGCTTTTAGTTTCTCTGCATTGAGACAAACAAATGCTATCTAGTTTTTGCATGTCTTACCTAATCCTATTACCTTCCTGTGTGCTCTTTCTTTATCATGTGATCAAAGTCCCTTGTTGTGTTGCCCTTGATCTAATGTCCACATATAGGAGAACATACTTTTTTGGTTTTTTGGGCCAGGCTACCCTCACTCAGAATGATGTTTCTCCAGTTTCCATCCATTTTACCAGCAAATGATAACATTTCATTCTTCTTCATGGCTGCATAAAAATTCCATTGTGTATAGATACACATTCTTAATCATTTGTCGGTAGTTGGGGCATCTTGGCTATTTCCATAACTTGGCTATTATGAATAGTGATGCAATAAACATGGGTGTGCAGGTGTCTCTGGAGTAACCTGTGTCACATTCTTTCAGTATATCCCCAAGAATGTATTGCTGGATCATATGGCAGATCTATGTTTAGATTTTTAAGAAGCCACCAAATTTTTTTCAGAGTGGTTGTACTAGTTTGCATTCCCACCAGCAGTGTAAGAGGGTCCTTTTTCCTCCGCATCCTGCCAACACCTGTTGTTAGTGTGCTATTAATGTTGGCTTTCTAATAGGGGTGAGGTGGAATCTTAGTGTGGTTTTAATTTGCATTGCCTTTATTGCGAGGGATGGTGAGCATTTTCATGTACTTTTTGGCCATTTGAATTTCTTCTTTTGAGAAAGTTCTGTTTAGTCACTTGCCCATTTCTTTATTGGTTCACTAATTTTGGGAGAATTTAGTTTTTAAGTTCCGTACATATTCTGGTTATCATCCTTTGTCTGATATGTGCTGGCAAATATTTTCTCCCACTCTGTGGGTGGTTCTCTTCAGTTTAGAGACATTCTTTTGTTGACCAGAAGCTTTTTAGTTTTATGAAGTCCCATTTATCTAGCTGTCTCTTAGTGGCTCAGCTGCTGGGGGTTCCATTGAGAGAAAGTTTCTTTAGGCCAATTTCCTTAATGAATATCGATACAAAAAATCCTCAATAAAATAATGGCAAACCAAATCCAACAACACATCAGAAAGATCATCCACCATGACCAGGTCGGCTTCATCCCAGGGATGCAGGGGTGGTTCAACATATGCAAATCAATAAATATAATACAGCACATTAATAGAAGCAAAGACAAAAACCACTGATCATCTCAATAGATGCAGAAAAAGCCTTTGACAAGATCCAAACACCACTTCTGATAAAAGCTCTAAGAAACTAGGATAGAAGGAATGTACCTCAACATTGTAAAGGCTATATATGACAAACTTACAGCCAACATCATACTTAACAGTGAAAAACTGAAAACATTTCCCCTAAAATCAGGAATGAGACAAGGGTGCCCACTATCTGCACTCCTTTTCAACATAGTACTGGAATTCCTAGCCAGAGCAATTAGGCAAGAAGAAAAATAAAAGGAATACAAATAGGTAAAGAAACTGTTAAAATATCCCTATTTGCAGATGATATGATCCTATACCTTAAAGACCCAAAAAACTCTACCCAAAAACAGCTATAGCAAGGTGGCAGGATACAAATCTACTTACAAAAATCATTAGCTTTTCTATACACCAAGAACGAACAAACTGAGAAGGAATATATGGAAACAATTCCATTTAATAGCCTCAAAAAAAAATCAAATACCTAGGAGTAAAGTAAACTAACAAAGATGTGAATGACCTCTACAAGGAGAACTAAACCCCTGAAAAAGAGATGAGGAAGACAACAGAAGATAGAAAGATCTCCCATGCTCATAGATTGGTAGAATCAACATAGTAAAAATGGCTATACTACCAAAAGCAATCTACATATTTAATGCAATTCCCATCAAAATCCTAATGACTTTCATCACAGAGATTGAAAAATCTACCTAAAGTTCATTTGGAAACAAAGAGACAAATAGCCAAGGCAATACTCAGCAAAAAAGCAATGCTGAGGTATCACAATACCCGACTTCAAACTATATTACAAAGCAATAGCAATAAAAACAGCATGGTACTGGCACAAAAAAGACATGAAGACCAGTGTGAACAGAATAGAGGACCAGATATGAATCCACACAACTATGCCCACCTTTTTTTGAAAAGGTGCCAAAATATACGATGGAGAAAAGACAGCCTCTTCAACAAATGTGTTGGGAAAATGGTTATCCATCTGCAAGAAAACTGAAACTAGATCCATTTTATCACCCTGTACTAGTATCAACTCAAAATGGATCAAAACCTTAATATCAGACCCAAAACTCTGAAGTTAGTACGGAAGGGAACTGGAAACATCTGGAAGTAATAGGTATAGGCAAGGACTTCCTCAATAGAACCCCAGCAGCCTCAGCACTAAGAGAGAAAATGGACAAATGGGACTTCATAAAATTAAAAAGCTTCTGCAAACAAAAGAAATGGTCTCTAAACTGAGAGGCCCAACACCAAACAGAGTGGGAGAAAAATATTTGCCAGCTATACATCAGACAAAGGACTGATAACCAGAATATAAAGGGAACTTAAGAACTAAACTCTCCCAAAACCAAAATGAACCAATAAAAAAAATGGGCAACTGAACTAAACAGAACTTTCTCAAAAGAAGAAATTCAAATGGCCAAAAAACACATGAAAAAAATGCTCACCATCTGTAGCCATAGAGTAAATGCAAATCAAAACCACACTTGGACTTCACCTCGCCCGTTAGAATAGCCATCATCAAAAACACCACCAACAACAGGTGTTGGCAAAGATGTGGGGAAAAGGAACCCTCGTACACTGCTGGTGGGAATGCAAGCTTGGTGCAACCACTCTGGAAAAAAATTTGGAGGCTTCTTAAAAATCTAAACATAGATCTGCCATATGATCCAGCAGTCCCACTCCTTAGGGATATACCCAAAGGAATGTGACACAGATTACTCCAGAGGCACCTACACACCCATGTTTAGTGCAGCACTATTCACAATAGCCAAGTTATGGAAACAGCCAAGATGCCTCACTACTGATAAATGGATCAAGAAAATGTGGTACTTGTACACAATGGAATTCTACTCAGCCATATGAAGAAGAATGAAATCTTATCATTCTCAAGTAAATGGATGGAGCTAGAGAATATCACTCTGAGCAAGGTTAGGCAGGCTCAGAATACCAAAAATCCTATGTTTTTCCTCATATGTGGACTTTAGATCTAGGGCAAATACAGCAGTGTGGTTGGACTTGGGTCACATGACAAGTGTAGAGCACATACAGGAGATAGGTAGAAAACCCAAAACATGAAAGCCTTTGATGTCTTCACTCCAGAGGAACTAATACAGAAACCTTAAAGCGACAGAGGTTAACACGAGAAGGGGATCAAGAACCAGTGTAAAGATCAGTTAGAGATGAATCAACTTGGGTTGTAACACATTTTTACATGGAGGCAATGCTAGGAATCTCTCTGTGTAGCTACCCTTAACTCAACTAGCAAAATTGCTTTGTCTTTCTTATTATGCTTAAGTCTTCTCTTCAACAAAATTAGAGATAAGGGCAGAACAGGTTCTGCCTGGGAGCAGGGTTAGGGGAGAAGGTGGGGTGAGGGGCAGGGGGTAGAAATGACCCAAACAATGTATGCACATGTGAATAAATGAATTAAAAAATAAACAACTGGACACTGGAAGATAATTAGGCTAGATACAGAATTATAGATGAGAAAGCATTTCCTTCAGAACTTTGGAGACATTTCACCATCCTCAGAGGACAGAATGAAGTTTTATGACTTGCAAAGATGCAAAAAAATGAAAGAAAAAAGATGTAAAAAAATGTATGCATGCTTTCTTTTTCTTTCCTTTTCTTAATGCACCTAAGGAAGCTGCTTTGAGGATGTATTCCAGCAAAAGGAAAAAAAAAAAACAACTCCAACCTAGGCCCAGAGTCAAAGCAGGAGAATGGGGAGAAGACAGTGTATAATGCAACGTAATTAAAGACATGTGGGGTTTTTCCTTTTTTTTTTTCCAGTTCTGCTGATTAAACCCCAGTGCATTATAATTGTGAGGCAAGTGCTGTATCACTGAGCTATACCCCAGCCCTTAAAGACATGTAATAAATGTTAAGAGCATGGGGCCTGGAGTCAGACTGTCTAGATTTAACTCCTGCCTCTGCAAATTACTAGCTAGAATTGTTGCCAAAGATTACTTAATCTCTCTGAGTCTGGACTTCCTTCTTGCTCTGCCACATAAGTATAATAACCACACACACACTTCATGGAGTTGGGGAAGACAATGCTTGTGAGGTAGCTAGAGCAGTGCTTGGCACACAGGAAGTGCTCAAATGTTAGCTATTAGTACAATGATGGCAGAGAGGGCAAAAGAGGAACAAGAGGAATTAGAAATACCAAGGGCTGTGCTCAGTGGCTCATGCCTGTAATCCTAGCTACTCAGGAGGCAGAGATCAAGAGGATTACTGTTTGAAGCCAGCCTGGGCAAATAGTTTGGGAGACCCTATCTTGAAAAACCCTTCACAATAAAAGGCTGGTGGAGTGGCTCTAGGTGTAAGAGTTCAAGCCCCAGTACTGAAAAAAAAAAAAAAAAAGCCAAGAATGTCAGTGCAAGAAAGAATGAGATTAAAGATTAAAGTACAATAATTGACTTTGCAATGACTACTTACAATCCTAACAAACATTTTATTAAACAAAACAGCAATGTATCTATTGTGAGATTGGGAGCTCAAGCATTCTCAAAGTGGTGAGGCCCCGAGTTCAATTCCAGAACTGAAAAAAAACCCAAAACACCCAGACCAATAAAAGACTAAGAGTCAAATCTTCATTTATCTTAATAGGAAGTCCATAGATCATGGACAGAACTGACCATGAAGAAATATGGGGTAAATAAAAGAAACAACTAGAAGACATCCACATTTGCCTCTGGGGACTAAGACAAGAAACAAGTTTTGCAAAACTCAAAGATACAACATCCAAGGGATATAACGCATGATATACTTTGTTGACTTATATATATTTACAACAACAATGCATGTGACAGTGAAGGGTCTTGTTCTAACAAAATCACATATGAGAATTTTCCATGAGAGGGAAGCCAGGTGACTAGAAGAAAGCTGCCCTTTTCTACACTATGCAAATACCAAAGAGACTTGCTGTATAAATGCAACTTACTTCAGCTCTCTGGACACAGCTCTCCTCATCTATGCAGGGGGCTCACAACAGTGCACTACTCACAGGACTGTCTGAGTATGAATATAGGTAAACCACTTAGCACAGAGCCTGGCACAGATATTAGAACTGCCATTCTGAAGACCAGCCTTACCTTCTCCCCACCTCCCACTCTAGATAGTCAGCCCCCAAAGATAGCAATGTGCTTACTTGTTCTGGGATAGGGGCAGGAATAGGAAGGGGGACAACTCCCAATCCCAAATCAGCCTCCAGAGGCATCTGGCTCAGCCCAGGCCACCTGCTGAGTCTCCCCTGCATGCATCTTTAGCTAATGTGTGCTTGGAAGGTGCAATTATATCCTTCATTGAGCCAAGCTTACTTAAGAAAGGAAAACAGATGAAAAGAACTTCAGAAAGCTTCACAGACTTCAATGCCAGCAACTTCAAGGTTAGCTGCCACTTTGTGTCACCTGCCCACTACCCCCTGTATTAGTTGGGAAGTTCAAGCTGGCCATTCCCAAATTGTCCCCATTAACCAAAGCTTGATCCAAGGGCACTAGGTCCAGGGAACAATTGTCACCAGAGGCTCCTTTAGTCCCATGACCTTAGCAATTGTTCCTCAGATTCCCACTTCAAAGCATATTAACTTGAAGCTCTCCTTACCACAAATGTCTGGGTGTAATCTGACATCCGCTGCTGGCCTCTGGTGCTAGGATCATGTAGTGCTGAAGTGGGGCACAGAGTCCCCATCCTGCAGTGCCAACTCAGTGTTTACTCTGTGGAGAGATGTTGCCCAACTAACTGCCTGGAGTCCTGGGAATGAGGTGGGCTGCTTGGCCAGGACGAGCTCTCTGGAAGAGCTCAGGCAGTAGTGATAAGCCTGGCATTTCCGCTTATCTCTGACCCTGTCCCAGGCCCCAGAAGCATCACTTGGTTATCTGCTTTGCTGGGCTATATCTGCTTCCCCAGGGGCCTACTTCCTGCATCACTTAGTAGAGTGTCTACTTGTAAAACAAACACTGTATGGTCCAAGGACAGAGGAGAGAGGAGGCAGCTGTAGGGTACAGCTGGCCTGAGTTCAAAACCCAGAATGCTGGTACAGGGGCCCAGATGAGATAGGAATCCTTGCCTCCAGGTAGCCCTCGGTCAGAGCAGGAGCAGAATGGATTAGAGGCCCTGAGTTTCTCCTCTGAGACTACTTGCACCTTGGCTAGGAGTCTAATTAGTAATCTCTGGGCTAGGAGGGCCCAGCTGTTGCCTCTCCAAATAAAACTACTCAGGAAGCAACAAAGAGGTACAGAGTCTCTAGGGATGGGGGCATGCTACAGTGAGGGAGAAAGCAACGGCTACATAAGATGCCTGCAAGGCTTCTCTTTCCAGATCTTTCCAAGATGCCCTGGGGGAGGCCAAACCCTACATTTACACTTCACATACATCAGCACGCAGACACACCTCACTTTGGGACTGCAGCTTACCTGGTATGGTTGACAGGAATTGGGAAGGGGCTGCAGGTTTTGGTATTAGCTCCAGACCCTGTTGCTAAGCACTTCAGCTGTCATAAAACCCACGACAGACTTAAGGTGTAGATTTATATTTATCTTTCCCATTTTATAATACAGAGAACTTAACTGGCTTGCCCAAGGTCAGACAGTGAGAAGCAATAAAGGCAGAATTCAACCCCATTCTCATAAACATTCTGCCACTTTTAGAAACAAGAGGGATCTCAGAGACTATACATGTAGTTTCCCTTATTTTGCAGATGGAAAATCTGAGTACCAGAGAGGAGAAGGGACTTTCTGAAGGTTACACAGCAAGTCAATGGTAGAGACAGGACCAGATGGCACAATTGTTGCTTTCAGAGAGACCATGGAACTCCCACCCTGTTCTGTAGATTGGAAGGTGGGGGTTGAGGAGGTGGAGAAGGTAAGATTGGCTTATACACCACAGGCTTAGTTATGAAAGTCATCTGAGGAGATGAGGAAGGGGTCAAAGGGTAGAGACTCCCAGATATTAGTATGTTTGTTAGACTTTCATGGTAAAATGTCTACAACTTGTCTCTTCCCAGCTACTCAGAAAGAGAAGAGAATAAAAACAACAGTCACAATCCTGCCAGAATGAATCCAGGAATTACATTTGAGAATAAAACCAAAATGAAGGTGGTCTCTCTGAAGAAGCAGAGAGGAACACAACAATTGTGTGGAAACCTTGTCTGGGTGTGGGGAGGTCCCCTAATCTCATCTCATCTTTTCCCCACATGCCTACTTAAATTACTCCCCATTTAAGCAAGGGCAGATGGAATTTACCTGAAAATACTAGAAAAGAACAGAAAAGCACCATCAGGAATCAAATCCAGACCAATAGCACCCGTACATCCATCTACCCACCCATTCACTCATTCATCCATCCTTCACTGAACAAAACAAACACTTATTATGAAATGATAAATATTACTGAGCAGTTTAATACACCAGGCATTGATGCTGTATCTTTATATAAATTACCTTTTTCCCCCTCCCAAAAATTCTAGGAGAAAGTGATTGTGATCCTACTTTACAGACAAATAAATGGAGTCTTAGAGGAGTGAAGGTGTTTTCTATAAATGCAAGAATCCAGATTTAAATGCAGGCAGCCAGCCTCCAGAGTTTTTACAATGGACAATACTCTAAAACTTTCTGCTGTTTGTCTATAACCTGAATTTGTCTCTACAGGGCTGCCTATGCCAACTACCAATTCAGAAAACCCAATTACATTTGGAGTTGAAAGCAGGCACAACACATTTGTGCCAACACATTGTCTTACCTGTCATTCCACCAGCTCACACTGTGAGATGTTTCCATCTGCAACAGGCTTTGATGTATGCCTCACATTTGCTACGTAAATGCTGAGGCAGAGGGATTATGATCCTCATTGACTCATAAGAGACTGAGGTTCACAGTGAGAGTCAGTGGGGTACTGGGTGTGCTCACTACAGAGGGGAGTTTTTCTGGAAGTCCTCCTACACCAACATATGCATTGTTTTGGGACTTTCTCACCTGTCTTGCTGACAGAAATCAGAGGAGAGACTATAGGCTTTTCTCAGCCTAACCACAGGCAAACACTGTGCTAAGCACTTTAGTTGCAATTCTAGTTAAGTCCCTTGACTGTATCAACTCTTATGAGCTCAGAGCTCTGTTTATGCCATGACAAACCCCAAAAGTTTAGAAGGAAGTGAGATTAACACATCACAAAAACAGATACAGTGGGGGTAGTCAATGACTTCTTGGTGCAAAGGACATGAGTGGGATGGGGCAAAATTATACAATAAAGTGTATCTAGCCCCCCTATTTCTGATAAAAATAATTTTAGCTTTATCTGCTCAAATTTTCTCCTCTACCTTCCCCCACCTCCAAGAAAGCCCATCCCTGGATTTCTTTGTTGTTAATCTGAAGAACTGGTAGCAGAGATGGGACCTGATGGTTTGCAAGAGAGGATTTTGTTCATCTGGGTGACAAAGTCCCAAGATCAGGAAAGACAAAAGGGGAGAAAATGACACCAAGCAAGGTCTGGGGACAGAGAGATAGACCCTTAGGCAACTCCAAAATGTAAGAGTGGGTAGTGAGGACAGGAGGGTTTAGACGGTGACTGCTGCAGGATACAAACGTTCATTAGAAATCACAAGCAGGAATGCACAGTGGTTGAAAGGGAACCAGGCTCTACATTCTTTGCAGAAATGTAGCCACATGATGCCACAGTGTAAGAGGAGACAAAGAAACAAGATAGGACTTCTTGGAGGAAACAAGACTTGAGCTGAGCCTTGAAGGATGAGTGAGACATAGAATGACCAAGGAAAGGCAATTCTAGTGAGGATGCAGAGCGAACAAAGTCCCAGGTAGAGTCTGGCAGGTAGGAACCACAGTGTGGAACTGTCCTCAGGTCAGGATGTGCCAGTGGAGGCCTGCCAGATTCAGCAGGTGGGACCCTTAATGGTGGCCTGGGAAAATTGAAGACATTTAGACCTGAAGCAGCATCAACAACAATCATCTGGAATGTTTTGAGGTGGGAAGTAGTATGGTAAAATCAGTTTAGAAATGGATGGAAGTGATTAATTGGGGGGCCACAAACCCACTTCTGGGATGCTGGAGGTGTTTTATGTTGTGGGTGGTGGTCACATGGATATATACTTGTTAAAATTCCAGAGGCTGTGATATGTGTACATTGCACTGCATATTGGTTATACCCTAATCAAATCTTGTTAGCATAGAAAAAGAGAAGGGGCTGGATGGGTCTGGTCACAGAATGCACATGGACTGGGAGGGCCAGAACACAGAAGCCAAACTTAGCAAGTGCTACCACTTCTAGATGTGTGCTCCTATGTTGCTAAAACACTGTAGCACTAAGGAAGTAAAGCAACATCTAAAAGAACTAGTCTTTCAAAGTTCTCCTGCAAATGTTGCCTGCTTTCTGAGGCCCTCATTCCCCAACTGCCAGGCCAGTCACAGAAGAAGGACCCTCCTTACTGCAGGTTAAAAAAACTCTACAGATCTATGATGTTCTTCTCAATCCAATAGGTGAAGACATCAGCCCATAAACTGGAGGCAAAACAGCAAATACATATATTAGAATCTCATTTTTGTTTAAAATCTACATGGATGCCTGTATGGTTAATTCTACATGAGAGAATGTATATTATCTTTATTTTCTGTAACTTTATCTGTTTCCTAATTTTTAAAACAGAGGTATAATCCGTGTTATTCAACAAAAGTTTGTTTTTATGTACTTGTCACCAGTCACTTAAACCTGCAGAAACTATTCTAGATAAAAGCATGCACCAGAGAGAAGTTTAATTAACCAGAAACACAGAGTGATGGACTCCCTCAGGACCCCAGTTGACCAAAAACACTTAATAATCTTACAGGGAGGGCTGAGGTCAATTTCTTGATCTTAAGTGACTGGAAAACACTTATATTTAACAGGCTTAGGAGACCCTTCAGAAACAGCAAATCCCAGGGGGAAAGAACAACTCTTTGTGCTTTGTTTTTTTAAATAGATTTCCCCATCCAATTTGGGAAAAAATGTTCCAGACTCCATGCACAATTTATAAACTACAAAGTAGAATTAATTTGGGAATCTTTTTAAAAAGCATATTGGCATGCATTTGGGAACAATCAGCTACAATGTTCTCAAATGATTTAATCACCTGTATTACTAACTGGAAGGGGAGGTTTAGGGAACAATTCCGAAGTGTGAATTATACATGCAATTACCCCAAATCCAGTTATACCAAAGACAAGCTCATACACCTAAAACTAAGTGCTGCTTGTTTTTACTGTTGCTTTGGACCAGATTCTAAAAGTATTTTCTGGAGGGTCTACATGTCCCTGATGCACTGCTGAAAACAAATGCACAGTAAGTTTATCACCTGAACTTACATACCATTTTCTATCCATGGATCCCAAGTGGTCTGTCAGAAATGTTGTTTTCATAAGTCTCCAGTGAAATACATAAATATTGTTATTTCCACCTTATACACAGAGTTACTTAAACCTGGGGGCAGTTAAGTGGCTTGTCAACAGTAATATCACAAGACAAGATCTGTGCAAACTGTCCTCTGGTCTCCCTCCTGACTGACTGTCTCTTTGAACTTTCTCATTTGCTCCAGTATAAATCATGCACGCAGACCATATTGTTTCCCTGGTGATGGAGGTAGTATTCTATTTCCTGCCCTGAAGCTGGCCAAGGGCCCTGACTGTACCACATTTAGATACAAGTGT